CGACGCCGGGATTAGGGGATTGAGATAATTAGCAATACTAGCAGAAGTTGAGATGCAACCATCAAAGATTGGGGTTTAAGTTTAAACAAGAAAAAATCAAATTGAATCATGAAACATATGAGTAAACCAACTGGTGAAGGGTGGTTTAGTGTTTTATAGTTGATTCCTCTAAATCCGGATGAACATCGGAACTTTCTGTGTCCAGGCGCGCGGTGCTCTCAATGTGGATGTATACCAAGCGTGAATACTTGGTGAAATGGTGGGATATTGGGTGATTTTTGTCAATGTTGATGGTGAAATGGACTAACCAATTCAAAGTGTTTCTACTAAGAATCAAGTTTGTGCGTTTCTGTCTCCATTAGCCATGAATATGAGTGTGGTAATCAAACATTAGAGGAAGTTAGCAGAGATCCCAGGAAAAAGGAACAGACAGAAATGTCATAAATAGCCAAGTCAATCACATGTATGATTTCTTATGATCAAATATGCTAATGGATAGCCCTCCCCTTATTTCAATTGTTCCATTGAAGTCTTCATTGGGAATTCCCCAGTGCCGTGTTTGATCCCACAGTCCCCATCACCCTGAGGATGCATTGAAAGTCTTCGACCGACAGGGTGATGGATACATCTTGGTCAAGGCACGTTGCTGGTCGAGTGTGCAACGTTTAGAACAAGTCCTTGGTGAATGGTTGGTTCATCGAATCAATATTCAGCCATTTTTAGAGATGGAGAATATGTGTATACATGTGTATCCTTCTTACTCTTTAAGTGTTTTTACATGTTTAATTACTGTTTAACAACCAGGCTCTCTTGAATCCAGTTGTTGCAGGTTCCATAGTATCAACTTTCCATAGCGCCCAGGAGCTCAAGCATGTGCTAACCCGCATGGGTGACGTGCTCACAGCCGAAGAGGCGCATCCCCCAGGACTCTCACAGTGGAGGGTTTGAGGCCCACGCTCTTGGACTAGATTTGGATGGTTACAGCTCCGCAAGATTCCATGAATGGGTTGATGTTTAGCTGTTGGCCCTTCATTGTTCACGCAAGAGTGCTCTCCCCTTAGGTGTGGTAACCTTGGAAATATTAGGCGGTGCCCCAGTTCGTTCGCTAAGTTGGCAAACATAACTCCGATAGCTATATATAGCTATGGGGGTTATTGGATGTTTATGCCTACGGGTTGAAAACCGAACCAGCGTTTTGCATGTTTTTATGTCATTCATGGGGTTAATGGGGTGGGGTGGGGTGGGGTGGGGTAATAACGTTCATTTGCACTTCCTCACATATATGATGCTACGTTATTGTGTGTGGTGGGGTGGGGTGGGGTGGGGTAATAACGTTCATTGGCACTTCCTCACATATATGATGCTACGCTACTGTATGTCGTCTTGCACTTCCTCACATATATGATGCTACGCTACTGTATGTCGTCTTGCACTTCCTCACATATATGATGCTACGCTACTGTATGTCGTCTTGCACTTCCTCACAGATATGATGCTACGTTATTGTATGTCGTCTTGCACTTCCTCACAGATATGATGCTACGCTACTGTATGTCGTCTTGCACTTCCTCACATACATGATGCTACGCTACTGTATGTCGTCTTGCACTTCCTCACATATATGATGCTACGCTACTGTATGTCGTCTTGCACTTCCTCACATATATGATGCTACGCTACTGTATGTCGTCTTGCACTTCCTCACATATATGATGCTACGCTACTGTATGTCGTCTTGCACTTCCTCACAGATATGATGCTACGCTACTGTATGTCGTCTTGCACTTCCTCACATATATGATGCTACGCTACTGTATGTCGTCTTGCACTTCCTCACATATATGATGCTACGCTACTGTATGTCGTCTTGCACTTCCTCACATATATGATGCTACGCTACTGTATGTCGTCTTGCACTTCCTCACATATATGATGCGACGCTACTGTATGTCGTCTTGCACTTCCTCATGAGAGATTTGTATCAAAACCTTGAGATGAGTTTTGAACGCAATGCACGCCAGAGATCTTGAGAGATGCACATGGAGACAAAAAGAGTGCATGGAACGCTTTTCCACCTGCTCTTGGCAGTGGAGATGGGAAAACAGTTCCCACAAAAACCCGTCCAAGCTCACTGCAGACATTGTCAAGAACACTTAGCGCAGAAAAAAAGAGACTGCCGCTGAGGTTTTTTACATTTCCAGTTAAAAGTACGCGCGTACTTTTGAAGGAAATTGAACTTTCATGGAGATGCAAAACCACTGTGATTTGTGGTATAAAACCAATGACGAACACTGCAAACGTTGAAAACGCGGGTTCGATAAACAACCCGCCGGGATGTTTATGGTAAATAAATATGATATATCATATATCTATAATTAATTCATATATCTGTAATTCATATATATTTTTTTTATTATAGTTATATAATATAGTTCAATTGGACAATGGGGTTATAAAATGTTATAAACCAACAAAAATCACTTCTGTGGGCTTCGCCGGCCCTCCAGGTGGATGAATGGCTGGTGGCAGCAGAGATCACTCCTGAGGGAGCCATTCACATCGATGCTTGGCGTGTTTTTATTGGATGTAAATGGTTGGTAAACTAACATAGTTGGCGTAGCTATTGAAATCTATTGAACATATTTGAACATAGTTGAACATGGCCACAGCTGATTTAAATTTTACCCAAAAACGATGGTTTTCCATAGCTATGCTAGTTTACCAGAGGGTAAATGACCGGTTTGGTTGTTTGAGATCCTTCTCGTGGTTATATCTTTTTGGGGGCGTGGGCTGAAACTGCAAGGCAGATTTCACGGGCAACTGGGACGGGTTCCAACCCTCTTACTGTATTTTGGATGCCACCAAAAACCACGCAGCTTCTAAGGGAAACATTTGATGGATGGCAGGTGTGGTGACACACTTTTCGCAGTGTATTTGAGTTTAGCCATTGGATGTCCTCACTACGGGGTTATTTCATCTGCTGTTTGTGGCGAGTGAACATCAGAGAATTTTTTGGTGGGCCCTTCTCAAGGCCTCAATATCTACCACGCGGCAATTGATAGGCATCCAACAAATCCAGGTGCAGAAATAGGTCAGAAAAGTGGTTTCAGGAGCCTCTTTTTCGCGTGCCTCTGCTTGAGGAACGCTTCTTGGAGCAGTACTTTGGATTTCTGAAGAAGAACTGATGCTGGAGCCACAGAACCTTGGCACGCGCCGGCATGGTCGGTGGTAGTGGCTAGCTTAAAGCTTCGGCCAAGCCGGCGTGGTCATAGAGCCGGGCAGGCGCCTGCGCAGAAACAAATTGCCCTTGTAAAACCTGGTGAAAAATGTGAAAAACAGCTGGAATGTTATGAATGTTAGTGTGCAGTAAATCCACGTAAATCCCGATTTAGATGTTTCAATCCCTTTAAATGTTCATTTCTTGATGCTTGAGTTCAGTGCAGCTGCCCTGTTGGCATGCATATTGATGCGACCAGTGCATCGAATTCACAGAATACCAGCGATTCAGCTTTGCTTCCGCGGGGCTGTTCCCTGTAGATGTCTGGACATTCCTTGCTTTGATGAACTGGGTGTGTCTGAAAGTGGGGTATACAAGACACATTGCAATTTCAATAGGAAAAAGTCTGATAAACCTTGTTGTTTTCCCATTATTCTCAGGCCAAAGCATCTCAATTTAAGGCCTTGCGCAAAGTTTCACTCACAAAGATGGCAGGTTCAGCTCAAGTGGCAAGCTGCACCCACTGGCGCCCAGGGTCCAAGAAATACACGGTGGACGCGTTGGATTTTTTGTTCTAACGCTGCTGGATTGTTCATGGCTCAGTCCCTTCGGGCTAGGAATTTCCAGACGCATTGGTGGTGGTGCAACCCCTACAAAGTGAGACCCTCTAAAGTCCAAATTCATTACCAAGCATAGATGGATTGGGGACGATATTTCCCCTTTTGACTATCTTTAATGGCTTACTCGGAGGATCTTCCATGGGTTCTCAATCAGATTAGCACATATTAGCACCAAATTAGCACATTGATCCAAATGGTATCAAATTGTGATATCTGTTTATGCCCCAAGACCCTCAATATCCCCCAACTCCCATATAGACCCCGCTTATCGCTCCGTCGAGGAGCGATACGAGCGGCGCGGTCCGGGTGACCTCGCGCCAGCCACAGCGACAAGAGCTGACGCAACCGCAGGCATTTCATGCGGGGAAGCCTGGAGCAGACGAGGAATGGGAGGACCTGAGGACGCATGAAAAGTCCACGGTGACATGGTGTGTTTAATTGGATTTGATGGGAGGTAACTAGCAAATGGGATTTAGCATGGATGAGTCTAACCTGGAAATGTTTATGATTTATGATGGTTTATGGATTTGGCATTGTTTTTCTCAGTAAAAAGCTTAGGCATCTATTCTTGGAGGAGCCATTCCCAGCTTTCCGCCATCCCTAGCTCTCCTGGTTCCCTGTGGTTGCTCTAGTCAGCCATCTCCGCTGGCCCCGAAATTGGGGATGGGTCAACACCATTCAGAACCCTACCACACCATACTTGGAGTGATGAGCACCCATTTGCCAGCTACATTGATTTAGCAAGGCAACAGGCTTTTGATATCTTTTGATCCATAGCCATATCATATCTCAAACTTACACATACACATACACACACTGGTGATCACACACGCATCCAACAAGAATAGTTTCCCTCTGTTTTGGCACCGGAACCGGTGCATGGCTTTGACACAGCCGCCCAATGACTTTTCGCCGTGGCCGCCCATCCGGATGGGCGATGAGAAAATGGGGCGTGTTACCTTCCTGCTTGGCTGGTAATGCGCATTAATGCTCATAGACTTATAGGCATGCATTTTTTACAATGGTTCGACCCAACTCAACTCTTGGTTCTGGCCGACCTTGTCAACCAATTTCATCCAATTTCCATGGTTATTTGGCTGGTAGTTTCAACATGTCCGACATATGCTGAACTATGTTTCATTGTTTGCCATAGAAATGGGATGATAATTCCCAATGACTTTCACATTATTGCTCAGATGGGTTAAAACAGCCAATCAGTTCTTCATTCCTGGTTGGTGTTATAAAATCATAGATATTCCCAGTATACCACCATTTTTCTTGGTTCAATTTCTAATGAAAAATCCCCATGAATTGCCATGGCTATTGAACGGCGCCATCCCCAAGGTCTGGAACCGCTTGGAAGAAAAGAGCTTCGTGCAATGGGAAGACCGTTGGTGCACGCGAGTGGCTGAGAAACTGAGCCAAATTGGATCTATTTGGCTGCGTTTTGGGCAGTTTTAATTTTTGTTGCACATGACTTAAGTTTGATTCCATTTTACATCAGATCCATCATTGGGCCAAAAGTGACAACTTCGGGCTGTTTTTGTGCAAACAGGGGCAAATGTGGTAGATCTTCATGATCAGATAACTTGGATAGATCGATGTGGATAACTCAGACACGTATTTAGATGCGGATGAAATCCAGAGTTTGGCAATCCGTGATGTTATCATCATGATCCATCAATTTATCAATTTGCTTTTACTTGGTCCCACAACCCTTCGTTGTTGTGCAAATGACTTTCATGAAATCTTTATTATGGTCGTTTCATGTCCATGTTTATTCAGAACATTTCAGAACATAACTTTTCTGTTTTTTTTTCTCCTGGGTCCTGCGAGTGAAATCTTCATTATTTTGGGCACATCAGGGCACAGCAAACCCCAACCAGCTTCGCAGAAAGGACTGAAGCTGCCGGGCCCAGCTGTAGTTTGCCCATAGCACTGGTGGAGGTGTTGCAAGGCATTTGGCGTGATGCACTGGCGCGTGACATGGCGGCCCTGGTGAAGAGTGGGTTTTGATGGTTTATTCGCTGTGAGGAAAAGATAGGAAAAAAACAATATGAGGCAGCTGGAAATATTTCTGCAAAGGGAATAAGTAAGACGGCGGCAAGAGACGGCGGCAAGACACTACGGTTTGCCCAGAGGTTGCAGCGGTTTTGGAGATGACAAACCCTTAACCCGAAAACACTGAGCTTACCCAGTGTTTTCTGCAATCCCTCCAATTGCATTGTAGCAACACAGCATGCTCAATGCTGGAGCCCGTGCAAAACCACGAGGTCTGGGAGTAAGATTAGCAACGTATATAGTTGTATAATTAATTACATTACATCATGATAGTGCCTTCAAAGAGGGCTACTGTAGACTGCCATATTAGCGGAGGTTGTACCATTGGTGATTCTGTCCCATTCTTGATTGGTCACAAGCATTTTTTTTGTCAATTGTAAAACCCATGTTTGGTGCTTTAGCCCCAGGACCCCACATGTTTCTATAAGGTAACCAGATAACCAGACTATTGTCACTGACCTTAGTTGCACTCGTTTCTTCGTTAAATGTTGCCTTTCAAAATCCCAATTCTGCCGTTGATCTCCCGGATCTGGGCGAGCTGGTTTATAATGGAAGGACTCTTAAAATGATGATTAGAGGTACCCCTATTTTAGGAAAGCTCCATATGAACCAATATGATAGAATAAACCAGGTACAAAAGGATACCTCCCACTGATCAGTTACAAGCCATGTTTTCATTACGAATAAGCCAGATGCAACAGAATATCAAATGATTTTTTACATCGCACTTATGGAACCACTTAGGCAAACTACTAACTAGTCAGCTTTACAAGTCAACTTACAAGCCATCACCCACAAGCCATCATTGACAATTGGTTTATAGTTGTGGAACTTAAATAACTAACTAAACCAGGTACATAGAACATATGTGAACATATCATCGAAGGAAGTTACATCCCACTCATTTGACCACTTAGGCTAACTCCAAGGCCCATCTAGTCGTCAATTTAAATCATTGGCGCTGAGGGGGCCGACGCTTCGTGTGCATCATAGAGACCTGCCACGATTGCGAAGATCACCGGCGAACGCCCCGTGGTGGAAGGGGGGGAAACGGATGGAAGCTGTCGGCAGATGTCGGCAGAAGGGTGATTGATGGTTGTAAAGGTGCTAAAATATTGATATGATATATATATATATATACATATATATATATATATCAGATAATGGGAATATCATGGCGATATTTAGGGGTGTTCTACAGTGCATTGGGATACAATATGCAGTGAGCCGGATATGTGCATCAATCAACACCTATGAAATACATTGAAATACATTGAAATTGAAATACTTCATTTGAGGTGCATGAGAGTCCAGCTAGACCAGCTGTTTGAATGAAAACGGAAGGGTGCCAAAGTTTTGCCCTATACATGAGACAATCCTCAAAAGCGAGTAGTGGGCTACTGATGATCCATGCTTTGCCTGAACTTTTGTATCAAGCCCGTTTCACGTTAAACCCCGTGGTAAACATTTCAAAGCCATATGGCGTTGTAGAGTTGGGCGTGATCATTAACGCTAAGAAATGAGGGGTCTACTTGTGAGCTGGGATTTTTTGGGCAAATCTTCTAATGATCCATTGCAGAGAAGAGGCATCGTGCCAAAACCAGGATGTAGCCTAATTACTGGGTCTTATGAACCCATCGGTTTGGGCTATATAGATATCAATTAAGTGACAAGGGATCAACATAGGTAGGGTTGTCAGCTGATATAACCAACCAAAACTCGGGCTTCCACCTGCGAGAGTTAGGGGATATAGGGTGGCCACAACGCCGGGGTATCCTTTTGATTAAAAGGTAGAACCAATCGGGTTTCTTTAAGCGGACAATGGACAATGTGAACGCAGGGGTGAAAAACTTCCAGTTTACAGAATGGCGGCGGTAGCGATTTCAATATCTAGTGCTGAATATCTATATTTTGGGTTCACGCCCTTAATCAACGAGTTTATTTCGCTGGGGGTGTCAGGACGGTGAGTTGAAATGAATCCCTGCACCTCAAGCATTACATTTTTTTGAAAAAAAATATATTGAATACTTATGAATACTTCCTTGAAGCCATGGGTGCAATATTGGATCTATTCATGACTTGGGGTCCCTAAAACAGCGGTAGGGGATGGAAGTGCTGCCAGCAGACCAGTGGGCTGTTAAGGACCAAGCACAAGCCTGAGAAATACCGAGCCTATGCCGCCCAGGTGCAAATTTCTCCCGATGCCATTCTCAGTCTCAATGTGGTGTTTTCTTCAGCCACAGGGGACCCCAAATTATCATTCAAGGCAAATGGGTCTTGTGGTCCCCCATTTTAGATATATTTGGAACCCCCCTGGTCGAGCATACACATTCGGCCAGTCAACTGGTGAGACATTTCGACAGTTGCAGTTGCATCCTGGGCCCTGCCAGGTGACCGATTTGATCGCCAAGGAGTTCTCCTTCATGGCTGTGGAGCAGATGTGCCATGGCTGGTCCCCATTAAGGGGGCCGCAACTGGTCGAAGACTCAAAATCAAAATGATGAAAATTGGGTAGCGGATGGTGGAAGTAATGGCAGACCACATTTTTTCAAACTCCACCTTCGCCTGGATGACTCTAGTAGTTCGTGAAGAGCAATGTTGAGCGCAGAACTCTCAAATGTCGGAGTCCTACCCATGGTGACCATAGCCCATTTCATGCAGCTCCAGTCTGTGCAAGGGGGTGATCGACTTGGTAATCGGTGGCTATGCCGAATGAAAACCTGATGTCACATGTGCGTATCTTCCGGGAATCAAACGTAGCAACAGAAAATCCCTTATAAACGGAGGTTCTAGTGGGAAAGCATCTATATATATATATATAAATGGGGGACCATGTTTGATTACCGGAGGGGGTGCGCCTAGGCTTTTGTAATATAATGTGAGATATGCTTGCTTAGATGGCTTTCTCTTTTAGCTAGGTTCACTACCTCCGGTAAACCAACAACATAGAGATGAAAAAGCCAACGTGTTGCTCGATGATTTTCCCATTTAGATGCTTATTTAGTTTGGGGAGCTACCCATTGCCAGCCATATTTGATGGTTGATTTTTCTATTACTCTGTAAAGCCCACCGAATCCCATTAGAAAATATTTTCAACCCTATGAATTGTGGGCTTAACATTGCTAGCTCAAGCATCTGTATCTCCATAGTATCCCAATAATATCACCATTTTGCCGGTTCAACCCAAGTGATTGGATGATTCTCCCCAGGAAACGCCGAACAAAAAACCGTCACCGAGGCATCTAAGCCGACACTACTGGGCCAAGCGCGTTGTGCGTCGGCTGGGTGCCTTTGAAGTCTACATCTTGGCCCCGGACGGTGCGAGGAAGTTGTGGCCGTCTCCCAGTGTTATGATGATTATAGATGTATATGCGGTATCCCAACTCAACCATTGGGTACTTTTACAATATCTTTTAATGATATCATTCTTAAAATATATATTATTATTATTAATATTATTATTATTGTTATTATTACTATTATTATTACTATTTAATTATCATTATTACCATTTTTATTTTTATGATTATCATTATTTTGTTATTATTATTATTATCATTTTTTTATTATTGTTATTATCATTATTATTTTTATTATTTTAGTTATTATGTAATATTGTTTACGTATATATTAAGAAAATATACGTATACATTTTTGCATATAGTTTTTTAAAAATAATTTATAATATGCGTTATGTCAATAAACTTTTTAAAACCGACGCGCAGACAAAAGTATCTATATATATATGTAAAAGCATGTACCATATTTACTGGGATGCACATCTAAATGGGAGGTACCATGAGATGGTGCACCACAGTGAAGAGAACTAGGTCTAACTAAGTAAAAAAATCAGTGAAGGGTTTTTCTTTTGGCATTTTTCCCGAGAGCGTCTGAGCGAAGGGTTCTTCTAATAGTGGGGGTCTGTCAAACATTTTCACATCTTCACATTTTCACATAATATCTTGAAATCTTCACATCTTCTCATGCTCATCATGCTCACATCCTCACATCTTCACATCCGCACATCTTCACATCTTCTCATCTTCACATCCTCACATCTTCACATCTTCTCAACTTCACATCCTCACATCCTCACATCTTCTCATCCTCACATCTGCTCATCTTCACATCTTCTCATCCTCACATGTTCTCATCTTCACATCTTCTCATCTTCACATCTGTTCATCTTCACATCTTCTCACCTTCACATCCTCACATCTTCACATCCTCACATCTTCACATTCTCACATCTTCACATCTTGTCATCTTCACATCTGCTCATCTTCTCCTCTTCACATCTTCACATCTCTACATTCTCTCTTGCCCTCTTGCTCTCTCCTTCTTGTCTATTTCTCTCTTAAGGCGCGGGGCAGTGACAACAAGACGGCACGAAACGCAACCGTTTCGCACGAAACGATGTTCGATCGCCAAAAACTGCAGAAAAATTATGAAAAATTGTGATTTCACGGGTCCGACGCAACCCTTTCGCACGAAATGACGTTCGATCGCCAAAAACTGAGGTAAAATTGCGATTTTGAACGGGTCCGGTCGCAACCCTTTCGCACGAAATGAGGTTCGATCGCCGAACACTGAGGTAAAATTGCGATTTTCATTTGCACTTGTCCGAGCGCAATTTCGCACGAAATGATGTTCGATCGCCAAAAACTGAAGTAAAATTGCGATTTGCAAAAGGTCCGGCGAACCTTTTGGCACGAAACGAGGTTCAAACGCCAAAAACTGCAGTAAAATTGCGATTTCACGGGTCCGGTCGCAACCCTTTCGCACGAAATGATGTTCGATCGCCGAAAACTGAGGTAAAATTGCGATTTTGAATGGGTCCGGTCGCAACCCTTTCGCACGAAATGAGGTTCGATCGCCGAACACTGAGGTAAAATTGCGATTTTCATTTGCACTTGTCCGAGCACAACCCTTTCGCACGAAATGATGTTCGATCGCCAAAAACTGAGGTTTAATTAATTGCGATTTCGAAGCGTCCGGCGCAACTCTTTCGCTTCTGTGTGTAAAAGGGTCTGCATGTAAAAGCTTCTGTGTGTAAAAGTGTCTGTGTGTAAAAGTGTCTGTGTGTAAAAGCGTCTGTGTGTAAAAGTGTCTGTGTGTAAAAGCTTCTGTGTGTCAAAGCTTTTGTGTGTAAAAGCGTCGGTGTATAAAAGCTTTTGTGTGTAAAAGCGTCTGTGTGTAAAAGCCTCTGTGCGTGAAAGTGTTTGTGTGTAAAAGTCTCTGTGTGAGAAAGTGTTTGTGTGTAAAAGCGTCTGTGTGTAAAAGGGTCTGCATGTAAAAGCTTCTGTGTGTAAAAGCGTCTGTGTGTAAAAGTCTCTGTGTGTAAACGCGTCTGTGTGTAAAAGCTTCTGTGTGTAAAAGCGTTTGTGTGTAAAAGCCTCTGTGTGTGAAGTGTTTGTGTAAAAGCGTCTGTGTGTAAAAGTGTCTGTGTGTAAAAGCGTCTGTGTGTAAAAGCTTCTGTGTGTAAAAGTCCCTCTGTGTGAAAGAGTTTGTGTGTAAAAGCGTCTGTATGTAAAAGTGTCTGTGTGTAAAAGCCTCTGTGTGTAAAAGGGTCTGCGTGTAAAAGCTTCTGTGTGTAATGGCGTCTATGTGTAAAAGTCTCTGTGTGTAAAAGCGTCTGTGTGTAAAGCTTCTGTGTGTAAAAGCGTCTGTGTGTAAAAGTGTCTGTGTGTAAAAGCGTCTGTGTGTAAAAGCTTCTGTGTGTAAAAGCGTCTGTGTGTAAAAGCTTCTGTGTGTAAAAGCGTCTGTGTGTAAAAGCGTCTGTGTGTAAAAGCGCCTGTGTGTAAAATTCTCTGTGTGTGAGAGTGTTTGTGTGTAAAAGCGTCTGTGTGTAAAAGTGTCTGTGTGTAAAAGCATCTGTGTGTAAAAGTGTCTGTGTGTAAAAGCTTCTGTGTGTCAAAGCTTTTGTGTGTAAAAGCGTCGGTGTATAAAAGCTTTTGTGTGTAAAAGCGTTTGTGTGTAAAAGCCTCTGTGTGTGAAAGTGTTTGTGTGTAAAAGTCTCTGTGTGAGAAAGTGTTTGTGTGTAAAAGCGTCTGTGTGTAAAAGGGTCTGCATGTAAAAGCTTCTGTGTGTAAAAGCGTCTGTGTGTAAAAGTCTCTGTGTGTAAACGCGTCTGTGTGTAAAAGCTTCTGTGTGTAAAAGCGTCTGTGTGTAAAAGCCTCTGTGTGTGAAGTGTTTGTGTGAAAAAGCGTCTGTGTGTAAAAGTGTCTGTGTGTAAAAGCGTCTGTGTGTAAAAGTCTCTGTGTGTAAATGCTTCTGTGTGTAAAAGCGTCTGTGTGCAGAAGCGTCTGTGTCTAAAAGGTTCTGTGTGCAAAAAACTTTACGAAGAATACGATGCAAACTATTGTCTTGTACTTGTAAAATATTGTCTTGATACTACTCTTCTCGTCTGCCTACAATAGATCTTTAATATATTGTCTTGTAATTTAGTGTCTCAATACTAGCAACAGAAGACCCTGCTCCTCTACGCTCTCGGGCCATCCGTCGTCTAGTTGTTTGGTGCGATTGCCATTTTGAAAGGGAAATCTGTTGCATACTCAGCTAGCCATGATTTTTTCTTGCAGTGTATCTGAAGATTTTTGGCACTACTGATAGCAGCAATCAGTGGCTGAAGATAGCACGATCATATATTCTGAATGACCATAGGTGATAGTAGATGCAAGTACCAGGTGGCTCGGTTACTCCATGTCACGCCCAGTGAAGTACCAAGTTTTTTTTGCAGACTCACGAGCTGTATTGACTCCGGCAGTGAAAACGTATTTGGCAGCTGGCCTTTTGGATATGTATCATGGTCCTGCAGAGTCATCCGGCGTTGAACCCCCATGTTTCCCATAGATCGTTAAGATCGGCCCCAAAACCAAAGTGTTGGTAGTTAAGAACAGTCCAGACATGTCCAGACCATTTTGATCCAAACCTGGGTTTGGCATTTCTTAGAAAATCCCCATGACAGGTGAGTTGAATTTGGCTGCGTGTTTTTGATCACCTGGAGGTCCTTTGAATGACAAGGCCTGTGTGTGGCTTGGCTTTTCACGGTCTTGCTCGGGATGTGCTTAATGTATCTTAATGTCACCTTGTATCATCTTAGATGCTGTTGTTTTCTTAGATAGCATATACAGTACTGCGCAAATGATTTCCACTTTTTAATTGTACCTTCTAATTTGTGTAAGTAATTATGCGTGTGAGTGTGTAATTATCTTTATTCTCATGTTCTTATCATGTGTTTCTTCGTTACGATCATGAATCGTTGATAATTTATACCCAAACATCAGTCAGAAGTGCATCCACGGATAGATACATAGATACCTGTAGAATATATAGATATACACATATTATATACACATATTATAGTCATTTTGGAACAGATAGAATAAACAACCCCACTACATTGGGAATATATATATATATTCCACCTACTGCACGGTGATTACATATATATAATTATGGGATATACATGGCCTATCCCACTGAATGACGTACATAGAATTACATAGGTACCTTACTATATATGTGATAATATATATCCCTATGGATCCAAACACTGTCTGAGAAGGTACTTAACCCCCTAAATCATACCCCAAGTACTTCCTGAGAAGGTACTTGGATCCATAGGGTATATATATATATACACGTTTTATCCACCCTCAAGCAATCAAACGTGGCTAGCTGGGAAATCCCCGAACGAAATTGGAGGTTTATATATGACTGGGAAAACCATCGAACTAAAATTGTCAATTGTCCATTGCCATGTTTGATTATTACAGGATGGCATTTATATAAACAATCAAGTAACTGCAGTTATCTCTGCTTAAATCCCGTAATTAAGCAGCTTATAAACTGACTTAGCTATCATAAATCAGCTATAGATTCCATTAATTCCCCATATTTTTGCTGGTTAAACAGGGTAATATACATGCCAATCATGCCCGCTGCATATGTCTTGAAATCTCAGGATTTCGTTGGCCCACTCCAAGCTGACCAGTTTGAATTGGCCCAATTTGGGACTGTTGAAGACTCGCTTGGTGTCTGCCTTGCCAGGCCTGGGGCTCAAAAACCCAGGTGGCCCAGGTGTCCCCTATATTTTTTGGGGTTAAGTTAAACTCCAATATTTGTGTTTATGAATGAGCATGGTCCTAATGAATAGTAATTACGGCATCATGGCAACCTGGAATTAGCATGGTGACCCCTGAGGGGTGCAGGCCGACGAGTGGAACGTGCTGAAAAAAGGCTATAGATTTCCAAGGGTCAAGAATGTTAAGACAAAATCCACCAAATCTTGTAAGTCACAAGTCAACCAAAGAAAATCATGTCCTCGCCATTTTCAAGATCCTGTGTCTAGCCACCTGCGACATCAGGCATAGTGCGGCGGATCCTGCTTCTTCGCTCGCAGCTGGGTGAACCGTGCTCCGGGTGGTGGGCTGTACATCCCCGGAGTGGTGATTTTTCATGGTGATGTAAGCATCGGGATCATAGGGGTTTGGAATGTCTTTAAATTGTTCTTCAACTGGTGTTCACCATCATATAATTATATGTGGTTATTTATATATATATGGGGATATAACCATCACCGAGAATCATCTTGCAAATGGTTTTGACAATGACAAGATCATCTCAAGCAGTGTCAAAAACCATTGTCGATGAGTTATTTCATGCGATTTTCAGCATTGTTTTTACGGTCTTAATAGGTTCAAATCATGAAATATGGGGATGTGATTGGAAATTATGGTTGGCTGATGCGGCTGATGATTAGTCCTGCATGGGGTTATACTTCCTATACGAAAATTTCATGAAAACTAAAAAGGGGCTTTCCAATGATATTGTAGGTTTTTGACACTGTTCACCTATACATATCTATCAATATCTATGCAGGCATGTTTCTTTCTTCTTCGGAGGTACCGTCTTTGGAGGTCATAGTGCATCAAAATACTGGATAGTGGTGGATATTGGTGTTTATGAATGGGTAATAGTAGATACTAATGGATATTTATGGGACAAAGCCAACAACATGATAGGAGTTCGTCTGAAAATTGGAGGCCACCAAAGTTGATGGTGACGTTTGTTTTCTATTGAAATAGAAACTTTTTCCAGGTATCCCCAATTTGGGGACACCCAAATGGTGGGATTTTCTGCCATTTTTTTCGAGCTCCAGGTGGTTCAACAGGATGTGGAGATATGGGGAGGCCCCACTGGATTGCATTTTTGGGGGGAACATGATGAGTAGCCATAGGATCATATAGAATCACATAGGATCCATAGGTAACCCATGGTAACCTGTTTTCAGACAGAGCCATACTTCATCAAGGGTAAAGCTGGGTGGTTGAAGCACCCGGATATGGTCCACCGACCGGACGCGGATGGCAAGATGGTATCCTGGTATATCCTATTGTATCCCAATCTATTTGGAATTCGGAGTGATAAGCCCGTTGACAACATAGATTCACCATGATAATTGTATATCACATCCAGTTTGGATGACTATCCCCCCGGTTTTCTTCGGTTCTTCTGCATCAAAAGATATTTTTTGTCGCTTCTTCGGCTCAACTTTGGAACATCGCCGCGGCGTTCGAGGCAGAACTGGAACGTGACGGAGGGACAGATGGTGATGCAAGAAGCGAAAGCCTGGGGCCTGTCGCAGTGGGATGCCCTGGATGGCCTTGCAGCGACTAGGCGATATGGCGATATGAGGGTGTCATATGAGATGATTCGTCTGATCCCAAGAGATAAACAAGTAATTAATATCCAATATAGCCAATAATGATATGACAGCGATATATTGATAAATTACGTATCTATCACTTTCTTGGGTTATTGTGTGTGGGCTTTTTGGCGAAGTGTTTTATGGTTTCAAGTGTGAGGAAGAGAATGCCCAGCCAAAATTGGCTTCCTTTGCATCCTTCGCATGGTTGTATGTAATTGGCCAGCTCCAAAGGAGTGTGGAGGTGCCATATGCTGTTTTTTAAGTCTTAAGTCTTAAGGGAAAAATCAGAGCGTTTCAGTTGTAAGGATCACACCATACTACACCCGCCTTTCGTGTTGCCACCGCCATGTTTATTGAATCATTGGTTCATGTCTGTTGTTGGTCCCAGGTTTGCCAGCTTGTGTGAATGGCTACGGCTAAGGATCAAGTCTCATCTGCAAATCGTGTGCTGGAACAAGGGCAGCAACTTGGTTTCATTGGCTGCCATTGGCACGGCCCTTAAGATCTAGATAATATATAATGTATGATAATTAATGTTAGTTATATAATGTTAATGAATGTACTGTCAACCGTTTGCGAGAAACTGACTTGTGGTCTGGTCCTTGTTTTGGGGAGACCCGAACCCGAAAGAAACGAAATCCTTGCTTTTTTCGGAGGCGACGCGGAGGTGTAAAGGTTTAAAGTACGCGAGGCTATGCAGAGTTATTATTATCGAACATAGTCTATGAAGAACATTGAACTATTAAAACAAACAATATATATCGGCATTCCAACCATGCTGTGCTATGCCATGGCAGGTCCGCCTTGGAACGCAACGACAAAGAGGCGCTGCGGGAAGCCATCAGCGACTGCCAGGAGTTGCAGTTGGTGGATGATCTCATAGGAGGCCGGGACCGATGGGGTCGGGCTGCCCTATGTGGTTCCACAGCTGGGAAAATCCATCAGTAAAATGAAGGTTTTGATGATGGGAAAAGCATCCAATCATGTAGGCTTTTCCAAATCTATGTGAGATTACCAGAGGGGAAAAAATAGGAGGTTAAGCAACAAAAATCATGGATTTACGCAGCAAAAATTGAAGTTTGAGCATCACACATTTTGGTTTAACCACGAGTAAATTGAAATTTCGGCAGCAAACTCAGTCAAAAGAACTATTTAAGCAACACAGATGCGAATTTGATTATGACAAGCACGGGTACATTGGTACATCCATTGGTTGGATGGGTGGTTTGCCAACAAAAACTGTAGAGATTAATTATTAATAGTCAAGAAACATATGGATGGATAGAACCAGCAACAAGGCCATGAGCTGAAGCGGCGAGAGCCGGTCTGAGCACGGCGGACTAGCCGTGAGGGTAGCTGTTTGTTTCGGATGGGAATCCAGCATTTTGCTCATCTTCAGATCAGTTATCATTAAGTAAACCCAACTTAAAAGCATCCCCAAAACAACCATGCTTATGGGTGGTATAAACCGTCCCCAAATGTTACTTGTAGGGATGGCTTTATCACAATCGCCAGAACTCGCCCAGGTTGGATGGATGAACTGAAGCAGAAGAACATGGCATTGTTTAGCATCAAGCTGCTTCAGCTGAAATCGCGAGTGCCGGGCGCGATATTTTTTTTAAGGCTGTTTAATAGTATTTACACCGCACGCATGATCATTTTTTGGGTTGGGAAGATGATTGACCATGTGGTTTTTTGGGGAGGAACATCCAGTGGAAACAGCAGACAACAACGGCATCGGCGCCGGCCACAATCCTGCAAACAACGTGCGGTGGGCAGTGAACTGACTGATGTTCACTTCGTTCATGCCTATATACTGTAAAATGTCCACGCCACATGCATATACAAATTTGAGCCAAATTGCCCATATGTGAAAATTCGAACTTGCTTCACTAGGACATTTGAATTACCATTCATTTACCATTCATAATCAGCGCAGAACAAGAGTGAAGGGGCTAATCTTAAAATCCCATTGTGTCCCAGAGCATCCGGCTTTAGACTACCATACTTATACCTTGTCAAAACATGTCAAACCCTCATTTGGATGATTAAACTCCGATGTACTAAATGGGATGACGGATGGGACTAAACTATACCACATATTGAAGCAAAACACCTTGTTAAACCCTCCAAAAAAAGCAACCGATAAAAAGTCCACATGAATACCCCGTTGAATCACCATGTTTGTTGGTCAAACCCCAACGAACCCATTATGTCATGTTGAGTATTCATATATTTAAGCCTTCAAGCCTATCCCAATCATTGGGAACTAGATCATTTAACAATAATTACCCCAATTTAATTATTTGAAAATCATTGAAAACCAACGTTGGGTACAAACGGATATTTAAACACTAAGTCTAAGTTAGTTTTTAAATTGCATATGATCATATTTGAATCTCCAGCAAATTGGATAAAATTGGTGTATCCCATCATGGATAGTCCCAAAAAGCGCAACTTCAAATTACAAATTATTGGCAATTTGACATTTGAACCCTCCAAATTCTACCGTGGTGATTTTACCTTGCTAAATTAATGGGTAAAACTAAATTGGATTAGAGCTGGGATTGTAGATTGCTTTTTTACCAAATTTTTAATATTTACACGGAACACCCTTCCCTCTGGTAGACAAACAAGATGGTGATTCTTTCCATGGCTATGTTACTTCAGTGAAGTCTTAACTTGCTGGAATTATTATAAGGACCCCCAATGATAAGACCCCTATTCCCATCAGCCTCTTGTACTATTCCCACAAGAAAACCCAATAGTATGGCTTATGGGAAAAGGGGTGCCATCATTGGGGCCGCTATAAATTCCATGGATTAAGCCCCCATTAGCCCATTAGCCCTAGGCTTCACGCCAAGCGCTTCCAACGCAACGCCGCCTTCGCGGCAGCGTCGCGGCAGTTGGTGGGGGCCCAGCAACGACCCCTGCGCAAAGCCAAGTTGGAGGCAGCTATCTTGAAGGCCAGCATTTCTGGGCTGGGGAGCTTGGGACAATGTTGGTGTCTATTGGCCACAATGGTTACGTTTCTTAGATTTTACTAGTAGAAATTGCAATTTCAGCGGCAAAAAAAAGGAATTGAAGCAGCAGAAATGGGGTTTAGCCAGCATCAGGTGTGATTTCACTCGCAGACATGCTGATTTCACAGCAAAAAGCATATATAGTCATATAGTTCAAGTCAGCAGAGAGATGTAGAGAGTGATAATTAGTGAGAATCTATGTAATCATGTTCAACGACGGGGTTGAACCAACCAAGAAGCAGAGACATTCCGTCCCCCTCTCCAACATCATATATTAATGGTTCGATGCGTTTTTAAACGCAGGAAACTTTACTGTTAGGTGGTCATTCTTTGTCTATAGTTGAAAATTGGAACAGTAGGATGCTTTAACATGTTGACAAAAGCGACACTAGCCTATTTAATTAAGAGGACAAAGTACTACCTTCTGGCAACCTAGCATATCTATGTAAAATTGCCCCGTTTATAGATGATTTCTCTATTCTAAATGGTGATTTTCCACAACTATGTTGAATCGCCAGAACAATTCAATTCTAGCCGGTTGGGGCTGAGGCACAAAAAGCAGAGGTCCCAGAGGAAGAGATTCTTCCAGCAGCTCATCTGCAGTCGCGAAGCTTGGCAAAGTTTAAACCAGTTTATACCAGTTTCTTTGCGTGTCCAAGTCGTTTCTTTTCATTTGTATAGGCTAAGTCCAAGCATATGTTCATGGTGGTTCATCTCTACTTGGGATAATGACGGGTTGAAGGAACCCAGCGGGCCGCAAGGGGTGGAAGATGCGATCTACAGAATCACTTCAGCAATGGAGCAACAGACTCTGCTTGAGATGGCTTGTGGCATCGATGACCTTCGGCGGGAATTGGGGTCAAACCATGTCCAAACCATGTCAAACCAGAAGTTGGTGAAACAACTGTTGAATCGAAGCAACCAAAATGGGGATGCAACCATGTTTCACCTCCAAAATGTCGATTTAGATATGTTTTAATTCAATAGGGAAATCAACTATAGACTATAGATCACCATTTTCAATAGCTATGTCACATTACCAGGGGGTATATGTTTTTTCATCTTGGCCATGTTGTATTCATCTTGCAGGTGGCCCTTTAGGGCATCGTTTTTGCGATCCCGGTGATCTGAAAGCCCACCAAAAAGTAGCAACTGGATCCTGTTCTAAAATCGGAACAGTGATACCTGATACCCTTTGGTAAACTAACACAGCTATTGAAAATTGCCATGTATAGTTGATTTTCCTATTAAAAATGGTGATTTTCCATAGTTATGTTAGTTTACCAGAGGGGAAATCTTCACTTCGATCCTCCAAATCTTGAAGAAATCCTCCAGGAAACCCGGTAAAGTGGTGTCATTTCAGTCACATCTTGAGACTTCCGAGGAGGCGCAGGAGCTGGGAGTCCAGGACGGGAACCGTAGGGGTTTCAGGTGAAGCCGTGGATGGTGGTGAGCTGCTGAAAGCACCCGCCTTGACGCTTCAGTGATTGGGACACATTTGACATATCAGTGATATAAAATGATATATGATATGATATGACTTTAAAATTTGGTAAAGCACAGAATAGACCATCCGAGTCATCAACCATGTGGGGCCTTTTGTAAATCATCCCAAAATAGAGGTACAGACAATGCGCCCAATAATAAACCAACATGTGGGATGGTTTCTTATTTGCGATACCACTAACCTGTAAACATCGTGATTATTTGAGGGGCAAATCATTCTTATTTGTGTTATCATCGTGATTTGCCTCTTAAAATGCTTGAACATGGATACACACAATTTTCAGGTACCACACCACCCTGAAAAAATGCTGGTTATAGGTCCGATTATATACCTTGTATCCAATTCTATCCCAGATTGTTGCTTGTATTTGTTTCCCATGAAATGTGGGCGTTCCCTCCTAAGGATGTTTTTTGGCTGCCCACTACAGTATAGCTATATTATTACGGCTTGGACATAGATGACCCTTCCCTCTTTAGTTTACCAATTGATATGATTCCCATGAGATAGTTATAGATAGTTGTGTTTTGTAAAACTGGTTATCCATTAGCTTCCCATTGTATCCACCTAAAATGGTTGGTATCACCCTCCGGCAATCAAATGTGGCAATGGAAAATTATGATAGTGGATAATGGCTGATTTAGTTCAGTGACATTCCCAGCTATAAACCTCCATTTAGCGCGGCGAGGATTTCCCAGTGCTATGTTTTCTTAATTTGCTGAAGTTGATCGTTTATTTTCCCAACGGAAAATCCATTGCTTGGGGAATCTATAGGGATTTGTTTTCTCATTTGTTGGTGGGTCCTGGAGCAAATCCAAGCTTTGATTCCCATTAGAGAGCTCCTTTTCTTCTCAATAATGGATATGAATATCGCATTAGCTTCCCATTATATCCCAGTAGATCCCGGTAAAATTGCAGCTATTATCCGTAAGTATGGGAACCATAAATCTGTATGCATCCCACTATGTATATCCTCATTTTATCCCAGTGTATCTGACTATGTCCCACCATATCCCCATGAAATTTCCTGGTTCCCATGAGAACCTTCTAATTATTGCATCATTTGTTCTTATCCCAGATTTCCAGAATTATCTCCCATGCACATAGTTATCCCATATATTTCCATAATATTCCATAATTATATCCCACCATATTCCCATAGATCCCATAGTTATCCCCATAAGAAATTCATTGTTTGGTAACCCTGACTCCCCAGGACGAGGCCTTGTCCAAGGCCCAAAGCCTCCTGACCTCCTTTGGTCAGCGTGCGCAGCGCGCGTCGGAGCAACGGGACCTGGTCGGGACGCCATGGGTTGGGATGGATCCATTGAGGGCTACCCTTTGCTAAACATACCCAAAAAACCATGGAAAGATCCACCATTTTCAAGCTGGGTAAATCAACGAACGAAATGGGCCATGTTCAATAGCTATGTTAAATATTCTTAAATGACCTATAGGGTTGGCATTTCTGCAGCCAAAAAACAATAGCTTGGTTGAGGGAACGTCTCCCGGAAAATTATCATGCAATGTAGTATATCGATTGGTGGGGTGGAACTCTATCGTGTTTTTTTTAAATAATTCAGTCTCCTGGAACCGATGGGGGTGGGACCCTGTTGTGGAAAGTTTTTTTTCTCAGGAGGAAAAAAATGGGTCCTGGTTCAGCCCCCTTCTTGTGGTATTGTGTTCCTTATATAATTTTAAAGACCTTTTGTCCAACCGGAGTCCAACCTTGCTCTTATTATAGCTGGTGTATCTTGCTGACCCCATTCATCTTGAATCTTCAAAATGGAAATTTCCCCAAACGATTAATTTCCTTGTTGAATCCTTATTTCAAAAACAGGACCCAAACAATTTTTCAAAGTGGTACCCCATGAGTGAATCAGATCCTCAAAAATAGACTGGGACAAAAAAAACAACAGCTTTTATACACCTTTTTTGGGGTAAAGCCTGTTTCATTTACTGTAAAAAAAACATATCCATGTTGAATCCTTAGAATGCAAGGTTCCCCAAATGGTTAAATTCCTTACTAAACCTCTGTCAAAAAAAAACAGCACCCAAACAATGTTTCAAGGGGGTACCCCATGAGTGACTCAGATCCTCAATAAAATATTGGTTTGGATGGTGCTCTATTGTGCTTAGATTCTTTTGGGGTGAAAAAATATCAAAAACTTTATCCACCTTTCTTTGGGTAAATTTTGTTACTTGTGAAGTCCTTACGTGTCCTTGGGTTTCACTCTGGTTTCATTAGGAAAAGCAATTGAATGTAAGTGAGACGAATTGGCATATATACTTATCCTTAGATGTCCTTCTCGGTTAAATATTTCAAAGGAAACCAATTGAAAGTAATTGGATTGACGTGGATTGGAATCCTTATTTGTCTTTGTTTTTTTGGGTTAAAAAGCGCAATGAAATGAAAGCAATTTGATATGAATTGGAATCCTTACTTGTCCTTAGATTTCTGTTTGGTTCAAAAGAGGAATTGACAGTAGATTGATATAAATTGAAATCCTTTCTTATCCCTTGATTTCTTTAAGGTTTAAAGAGAAAATCAAGTGAAAGTAGATTGATTTCAATTGAAGCCCTGACTTATCAATCAAAAGATTTCTTTTAGGTTCTAAAGGAATATGAATTGAACGTAGATGGACATGAATTGTGAAATCCTTTCGAATCCTTAGATTTCATTTTAGTTATCAAAAAAAATCCATTGAAAGTAGATTGAAATGAGTTGAAATCCTTACTAGTCCTGTTTTGCTTTTCAAGATTTTAAAGGAAACCAACTGAAAGTAGATTGGCATCAGTTGAAACTTAAGTTGATCATCCTTAGTTCCCCAGACTTGGCTCCTCCAAAATTGACTACTTAAAGAGTCCCCTCAAATTGTATGGGGGGTAAACCCCCTCCACCAATCAGTATCCAAAATTACCCCCCAAAGGTATTATGCCTTGGATTGGCAACAAGCTGGGGCAGAAGTGATAGCAGAGAAAACCATGGGAAAAAAATGTATCTCTCCAGATGGGAATCATCATCATGTTGCAGGGCAGGGGATGGAAGGTAAGCTATGGCCAGAATAGCCGCGGCTGATGAATTGCCCGCAAGGATGTTCATGTTCACTGATGTCACTGGTTTAGTTCGATATGCATGAAACCATGGTTGTTGATATCCCGAAGCAGGATGATTCTTCGTGTTTGTCTTTCAAACCAAATCTTGAACATGAGCGTTAAACAGTTTAAGGGTTGGATTGCTCGGCTAAAGCCAGCTGAGAGAATTCTCAGCCCACAGGTTGAGCTGGAGTGGATTCTAGGCGCACAGGGTTTCGGGGGGTGAGAGCCTTTGGAGAATCTTTGGAACCCCTATTCTTTAAGTCTGTAGGCATGTTTGGTTGCTTGGTGTGTCTCTTTTTTGAGGACATGAATGCACACATGCAGACGAAGTGGAAACCGGTGAGGTGGGGTCCCCAAGCGTTTCGAGCCGGCACTCGGATCACTTGAGCCATGAACCGATAGCTCTGAACTATCTCCGATAGCTTCCAAGTCCACCTATGCCACCTGGCAGTTTCCGTTTGATTATTTTGATGTCAAATTCCAATCGGAACATTGACATGTCTAGAGAAATTTTCCCACATGTTTCCATCTTGACTTTCTGGACTCGCAGAGGTCATCATTTTGTTCCCCTGTTTTCTCCTGGAGAAACATCCCAGAGATTCCCATCACGACTGGTTCCAGCCCAAGCCTCGCGCCGCGCACGCCGTCATACGTCTCAGCCGCATCCACCATGGCAGCCTTCGTGGCCCCAAGCCTCAAAGGCTTCAGCGTGACGCCAGCGACCACTTCGGCACCTCAGCCGGCTTTGCAAGGCCCTGGGTGAACAGCTGAAGGGTTATGGTTGAATGAATCTCTGCAATTTTGATGGACATATACATCAAATACAATATATACTACTGATATATTGATATATATATATATATATACAATTATATAATTATATATATATTTATACGATATATATACGACTGATATACTGAGATATGAATAGATATGACATACTATGATATAATTGGTATGATATACTGACATGCACAGGCAAAAAAGATCTTTTAAGTGCCGGGTGTCTAGGGTTCTGACCTTCAAATGACAGAAGCGAAACCATTCTCACTTGAGTCACCTGGCCGTATCAAGATTAGTAGGACTGCTATGAGGGTCCTACCCCTCAAGTTCTTGCTTGAGAGAGAAAGAGCTGGTTTGTATAACTATAAATCTAAATTCTTTTGATCATTGATATTCAGCAAACAGGCGTTTATGCAGTCAGAATGTTTTTTGTGCGTGGCCTTTCTTTACATAAAAATACATAAGAAAATGAAAACTATCAAGATGTTTTAGAATGGTGGTATGTGTTCTTTTTGCAAGCACGCAGCACGCAATTATTTCGTTTTTATGTAGAAACAGAAAATGGAACATGCTTTTTCGATTATCATCAAAGGAAGTTTAGAAGTCAAACTTCCGACAATATGGACAGATGGAAAAGCAGAGGTGGGAAGAGTCAGAGAAGAGAAGAGCAGAAGAGAGAAAATCAGAGAAGAGAAAGAGTGAGAAGAAAGAAGATGCAGGTGCGCGAAAAGGTAGCAAAGTCGCGAAGCACTGTGTTTTTCCAAAGATTTGTGGCTCCGGAGGGTCGAAAAGTAGGCTCGCTAAAGCGGCGGGTGCAGAGCCATGTGGCCAGACGAGAGATGAACAATTGCACGCCGTTGTGGCGCGAAGCACGTGTCCAAGTCAAAATGTACAAAACACACCATGCTCGGAGCACTTTTGGAAGTTGAGATGTCGAAAAAGCGCAAAACACACCATGCTCGGACATTTTTGGAAGTTGTGATGCCGAAAAAGTATGAAAAAGTGCACGCCGCTGTGGTGCGAAGCACATGTCCAAGTCAAAATGTACAAAACACAACATGCTCGGAGCACTTTTTGGAAGTTGAGATGTCGAAAAAGTGCACGCCGTTGTGGCGTGCAGCACATTTCCAAATCAAAATGTTAAAGGCACCATATTATATGTTCGGACCACTTTTGGATGTTTAGACGTCGTTTTGCGCAGCAGGCGCAAGGGGTTCTGCACCTTGTCAAAAGTGAGCAAAACGTGAGGGGGTTTTGTAGTATTTCCAAAAATGATGGCAGGCGTGGGACATTTGAAGAGGACCTGGAAAGATGCATTTTGCGTGGCATATGCAGTACAAGAGACATGTTCATCAGAGATGTTAGGAGGTAAAAGTGATGGTAGGCGCAATACTTCAGAGACATGGACTGGAAAAATCGCAAAACTTATTGGTACGAGGCCGTCAGCTCTGCACTCAACTTTCCATTATTGAAGGAAGTCTCGCGGAATTGCTTCGTTTTTGATGTTGCCAAGGTCAAAAATTGAGGAAGTCTCGCGGAAGTGCTTCGTTTTTGATGTTGCCAACTTCAAAAATCGAGGAAGTTTCGCAGAATAGCTTTGTTTTCAAACTTGCAGAAGGACAGATAGATAGATAGACAACTACAACTGCAACTACAACTACAACCACACTACACTACTAGTACAAATACAAAAACAAACATACAGTGCTACAGTACACTAATTACATTACACTACACTAATTACACTACACTGCGCTAATTACACTACACTACGCTAATTACACTACACTGCGCTAAGTACACTACAACTTTAAATACAACAAGTACTTGAACAACTTGCACTACATTACACTACACTACACTACTTACACCATGCTACGCTACACTACACTACACTACGCTAATTACACTACACTATGCTACGCTACACTACGGTACACCACACTACACTACACTAACTACACTACGCTACACTACGCTACACTACGCTACACTAACTACAGCTACAGCTACAACTGCACTACACTACAGCAGGCTACACTACACTAGACTACGGTACAGCCCACAACACTACAGCACATTACACTACATCACATTGCACTACACTCGTTACACCACACCACAACTACAAGTGCAACTTCACTACACTGACTACACTACACACAACTACAACTCCACTACACTACAACTACAACTACAGCTGCAATACACCACACTACATCCACCAGTTGTGGCTGCAACCACTGCAACCACTCCAAAAAACACAACTCCAACCACCTTTCGGTCCATCAGTGGGTTCGCTCTGCCATCCATGCATCACAACAATTCACCTCTCCTATAGTGTCCTACCCTTGAAACTTCCGCCACCGCCTTGTGCGGTACTACTGGTAGCATGTCCAATGAGTAATTTTTCCGATAAACATGATCCAACACAAGGGTCCTTGGTATGTTCCAGGCAAGACGCACATCAGAAACCCAGCAGGTCCGTGTCCCAGCTCCTCCTTTCCCACCACTGCCGCTGCCACTGCCTCCATCGCCGGTGCCCTAGTGGCCCGCAGCGTGGGACGTCAGCGTCGCCGCCTGCCTAAGGGGCGGCCGTCGGTGACACGACAAGCGTCGACGTTGGATCAGCTTAAGGAGGTCACGGGGAAAGATGGTGGCATCCCTTTGCAGCTCAGATAAATTTTGAGATAGGGAGATAGATTAGATGGACAGATTAGACTCGATTCGATTGGCTTCGATTCGATAGATAGAGAATGGATAGATCGATCGATAGATAGATAGCACTCGATTTCAGGTCACTGTAGGTGGGATTGGTTGATCCATGGGATTAATAAACCCCAGAGAGAGAGAGATTTTATAGGTTGGGTTGGATTGAGAGGTAGATATGTATGGGTATGGCGGTATATGCGATTTTGATTTTAGGTTTCAGGATTTAAGGTGTTAGGGTTTGAGGGGTTTCGGGTTTCAGTTTTTTTTGGGTGGGGAGGTGAAAGGTTAAAACAACGCTAGCATTACGCAGGGATTTGAGCATGTCGAAGGATGTGCGGGATTGGTGGTGAGATGTGGTGGGCAAACGCACGGGTTGCGGCGAACATGTTTCAACGTTTTTTCAACTTGCTAGTTTCACACATGTCTTGCTTTGGTTTGTATCATTCCATGGGTCACTGAGACAGAATGAGACACCATGAGAAAGTCATGAGACATTTTTCCATCGCACTTAGGGACAAGTACCGCAACATCGGCATCATGGCCCACATCGATGCCGGAAAAACCACCACCACTGAGCGCATCCTGTACTACACGGGTCGTGAGAAGAAAATTGGTGAGGTGCATGAGGGCCAAGCCACTATGGATTGGATGGAGCAGGAGCAGGAGCGAGGCATTACCATCACCAACGCAGCTACCACAGCCTTTTGGAACAACCACCGCAACTTGGCGTGGGAAGATCGATTCGGCACATCCAAAATTATAATTCGGAATCGTTAAGGATGTTCAGTTCTGGGGAAAATTTGGATCCTGAACGCCCTGAATATGTGAGTAAAGGACCTGGGATGAGCACTTTAGTACTTTAGTTTGCTGATAATGCTGTGGATCACTAGGAAAGGTTTTTCCATGGATCATTTAAATGCCCCCGAAAAAGAAAGTGCCGAAAAGGATGTACAGAACGGTATTAGTCCGATGATGCTTTTCCAGGTTCAGCATTTTTATTCGGAGGTTGTTTTTTGTTATTCAATATTTTCCATATCTATGAAACCAACACTTTGTTGTGACCCCAATGAACTAGTTCAATATCTGTAGATCCATCTGCCTTTTTTTGGTCCACCTCGGCTGGATCTTCAGGCACCAACTTACTGGTAGCGTAACTCAGCTATCCAACGCATTGAAAATGTTGAAACCAAAATTATACATATATATTTATATATATATATATATATTACTATTTATGAATTGGTCATATATTAATATTACCTTTTGCAAAAAATAGTTAACAGAAGTTTTGTACTAGTTGTTGATAATTAGTGTTAATCTAGCGGTTTTTCCTCTTTGTTATGAGGCGACACGCAACTAAATTCACCAATTCTGCAAGGCAGCGATAGCAAACCCGCTAGGTTTGCGCTAGTTTTTTTTTTTTTACACCCATGCTCGAAGAGTTTTGTATGCGTTGCCGACCGCTTGGTATTTTAACATGAAACAAAATATAACACTTAGCGCCTTAAACCAAAGGATATCTTAGTGAATTTCTTTGCTACCCAACAATTTTCCTATGTTTTTGAGTTTGTCGTCATCGTCCAATTTTGCGCACGTATACGTAATTTTACCCAATAGATCCCCGCTAGCAATGCGCTAGCAAAAGTTGCAAAAAGCGGTTTTGGCTGACCTGTGACCCAGTCGCCGTCAGAGAACTTGAGTTTATCCTTTCTGCTTGACAAAAACAACAGTGCCACCAAAGGCAACGACATGCCTTGCGGGTTTCAGATTATCTAGATAAGTCACATTTTTTAAGTTCAAATATGAAGCAGCACGCATGGAAGTACGATCTATCAACCAAACCAGAAAAAACATTTTGACAAACCGTCATGTGCATACATATGTTTTAATCCTATATACATATATACATATTATGTATACCTATATACATGTATACATATATATACATATATATATATATATATTTACATATTTACAAATATACAAATATACAAATATACATATACATATATATATATATTTACATATACATATTTACATATATACATATATACATACATACATTTATACATATATACATTTATACATAAATACATATATACAAATATACAAATATACATATATACATATATACATATATACATATATACATATATACATATATTTATATACACATATATACATATATATATATACAAATACATTTATATATATATATGTATACACATATATATATATACATATATATATACATATATACATATATTTATATACACATATATATATATATACAAATACATTTATATATATATGTATACACACATATATATACATATATACATATATACATATAAACATATATACATATATACATATAAACATACATATATACATATATACATATAAACATATATACATATATACATATATACATTTATACATTTATACATATATACATTTATACATATATACATTTGTACATATATACATATATACTATATAATTTGGTTTTCCATCACCGCTTTCCGTATAGTTTCCCTTGGGGCCCGGATTTGAAGGCATCAACATCGTGGACACCCCCGGCCACGTGGACTTCACCCTGGAGGTGGAACGCTCCCTGCGCGTCCTCGACGGGGCCGTCGCTGTCTTCGATGGCGTGGCCGGGGTGGAGCCGCAGAGCGAGACCGTCTGGCGCCAGGCGGACAAGTACAAGGTGCCTCAACGGCGTCACCGTTGAAGCAGCGAAAATGGTGGGTGGGGTGCTTTCTAGAATCGATGGATTTCATGATTTTACATGAAAAAATTGCGGTTTTCATGGGTTTTAATAGGGCAAAACTAGTGGTTGAGGTGGATTTTGAGCAGGAACAGTGATTGATGACTTTGATGGGGTTTAACTGCCAAAATGATGGTTTAGATGGGTTTTAACGACAACGCACTGGATTCAATCTAATATATATATATAATATAACACCTGTCCAAAATATTCCAAAACATTATAAAGCTATGAAAACAATGTTAAGCAACAATATGGGATAATGATGATAAATGGAGGTATAGCAGCAACCATTCTCGGGTGATATTGTAGGGAAACAACGGGTATGGAATGGGATTGTAGTGGGTGTAGCAACGAAAAAAATGTATTTACAGTACCCCAGCTACTCTTCTACATTGTACATATATACATATATATATATACATATGTATATGTATATGTATAAAATCAGTGTATATATATACACATGTTTACATATGCACAGTATAGAACGTCTCTAGCTGCATTTTTTTTTGTTCTAAAAGACGTTCTAAATGATTGTCTGTCGCTATACTTTCAAAGTACCTGGGACGAGCTTGGGTGATTTTAGATAGGCCGTTTACCAATAAGACTGGCGATATGATGCCGATATCCCAAGATTTCTGAATATATGTCTGGGGGAAATCTCAAGTCTTCAAGGCCTCAGGGAAGACGTGAAAGGGATTGGCGCTAAAGATTCACATCCATTGGAAATTGAAAAGGGTTTTGGATTGAACATGCATTCAGGTACCCCGCATGTGCTTCGTGAATAAGATGGACCGTGAGGGTGCTGACTTCTTCAAAGATGTTCAGATGATGGTGGATCAACTGGGTACCAATCCCGTGCCAATTCAACTGCCCATTGGCAAGGCGGCTGGCTTTAAGGGTGTTTATGACTTGGTCGAGATGAGGTCCATCATTTGGACAGGAGAGGAGCTGGGTGCCAACTTTGAGTACAAAGATGAGATTCCCGAGGCTGGGTTTTCAGGTTTTACAACTAACATCAATTAACAATTAGCTTATATCTATACAGATAATTATAAATACATATAATGTAGATATGTAAGGCCCCCATTGACTACCACAAAATGATGAGTATATGATGAGTTAAGTCAGTGAAGTTCTCATGAATTTTAGCCCAGGGCATGGAGGAGTTGGTGGAAAAATACCGCGAGAATTTGATCGAGAAGGCTGCAGAGCAAGATGAAGAAGTCCTGGAAGCCTATTTGGAGACCGGTGAGGCCCCAGACACGGAGACTTTGAAGAAATGCATCCGTAACTGGCATGGCTTTGCTGACTTACTCGCTGTTTTCATTTGATTATTTCAATGTCTCCATTGACATTTCCTCAGTCTTCTTGATCCAGCAAGAATGGGGAACCAAGTGGGAAGATGTTTTCTTTGACCGGGATGGTCTGATCAGCAAGTTCAAGGTAAGGGAACCCTGAGTTTCAGCTTTGTCCCCGTTCTCTGTGGAACCGCCTTCAAGAACAAGGGTGTCCAGCCGTTGTTGGATGCTGTTTGCGACTATTTACCTTCACCTTTGGATTTGCCGCCCACCAAGGGCAAAAACCCCAAGAACGAGGAGGAGGAGTTGGTGCGTGAGACCTCCCCAGATGAGAAGCTCTCAGGTTTGGCCTTCAAAGTGGCAGCGGATCCTTACATCGGCACCCTGACCTTCTACAGAATCTACTCTGGAAAGGTGAAAGCAGGCGACATGGTGTGGAACCCCAGGAGCCCATGCCCTGATATGGCATCTAAACGATGACCAACAGGCTCATTTTTTTGCAGAGCCATCGCGCAATATGACATTTATTCGGGAAGACTGTGCTTAAGTACCTGCTTGCTGGACAAGTGTTCATAGCATCCAAAAGATACATGCTTTCATATGCTAACTTTGACATTCATATGGTTCTAAAACCCTTACTGTGGCAAACACCATGGTAAATTTCCAATTGTGCATTGTTCACACCACCCATCCCTAGCAAAATCAGGCTATTAATCTGGGTTTATGTGCCGATTTCCGACTGTTCATTGACAGTTGTGGCATCTTCAGCTCACAATTTTCAAGGAGCAAGAGCAAGGAGCGCATGGGTCGCATGGTCCTGATGCACAGCAACAAGCGCGAGGAGATCAAAGAGGCCCAGTGTGGCGACATCATCGCCATCGTCGGGCTGAAGGACACCACCACTGGTGATACCTTGTGCGCTGTGGATGCCCCGGTGGTCTTGGAGAAGATGGACTTCCCAGAGCCGGTGATCAAGGTCAACTGTTTGGGTAAAGGAGCGGATAACAATGGTGGGACCTTGTGGTGGTAGGGTTTTTACGGGTGTTCCACATACTGAAGATTATATAATCCCATCTCGGTCCCGGGGATGATGATCCCAATTGCTATGTTTTTCTGGTGGCATGGGTGGCTGAAGCAGCGAGGTCAGTTGCGAGCCAACTTCTCAGAAGGATGCGGATAAGTTGGGTGAGGCCCTGAACAAGTTGGCCGCTGAGGATCCGTCGTTCCGCTACAGCCGAGATGAGGAGTCTAACCAGACGGTCATCGAGGGCATGGGGGAGCTGCACTTGGAGATTATCATCGATCGCCTGAAGCGCGAATTCAAAGTTGAGGCTGAGGTTGGCAAGCCTCAGGTTGGGTCTGAGTCAAAGTGATCGAGCCACAAAAAATTGAAACAAGTAGGGATAGTTTCAGTTTCAGATCCTAAAACAGCCCTGTCCCTAATCAGCCCTTTCTGGGTCCAAAGAAGTAGCCTCCCATTTTGTTGGCCCAGGTGGCCTACCGCGAGACGATTACCGAGCCAGTAGAGTTGTGGTACACCCACAAGAAGCAGACAGGTGGCTCTGGACAATATGCCAAGCTCTGCATGGTCTACGAGCCCAACCCCGGCGAAGGCTTTGAGTTTGAGAACTCCGTGGTGGGCGGTGCAGTGCCCAAAGAGTACGTCCCCGCGGTGGTGAAGGGAACAGAGGGGGAGTTGTTGAACGGCATTCGCATGGGCTTCCCAGTGGTGGATGTGAAACGCTCGCTTAAGGATGGGGTTGAAAATGGATTAAGCTTGGCTTGGGGGAATGAGTTGGTTAATGTTGCTTAGTTGTTTGGATGTTGTTTGATGTTGTTTGATGTTGTTGTTTTTGGGCTGCAATAATAAGCTCCTTGCAATTGGATCGGTGGCTTTTGAGTAGCAGATTATCACTCGAATCAATTTGGGGGAACCCACGTTAATCAACCACTGTTCTATAATTTATTTGGGGTTGACATTATTCACTGTGGGTACAGTATCCAGGATACATATTTTCCAAAGCGTTGAACACTAAATCATTTTCAGTATTTCTCAGTAGTGATTGTGGGTATCAACCATGCATTCCCAACAGTGAACCCGGATTAGAATGGGTTAAAATCGGATTATATGTGTGTATAATTGCATATGCATGTCCATGATTATATATATTTACATAACATATATATATATAATCAATCAACCAGGGTTTTCAACCAACAACTGTTGGTTTGGGTTGGTGGTTCCGAATCCTAGGATTCCTTCATGAAAGATAGTATCATGTAGCATCACTGTGGAGTAACCCGCAGTAATCCCCAGAAATCCAAACCCCCAAAGACCAGGTAATCAGGTAATTCATTGGTTTATGGATCCGCAGGTGACATCCAGCTCCGCTAATCAAACATGGAAACGGGCAATTCTCCATTTATAGATGACATATAGATATGTTTTCTCCATTAAACCCGTTACGTTTAAACCCTACATTTTTTTCGGTGATTTCCCATGCCATGCTGAATTCGCCGCAGGATGGTGGCTTTCACCCGGTGGACTCTTCTGCCATTGCCTTCGAGATTGCAGCCCGTGCGGCCTTTAAAGAGGGTGCGGGCAAGGCGAAGCCGATTGTCATGGAGCCCATCATGAAGGCGCGGCTGGGGATCTCGTTTTAGAAAATGTTAATGAGGTCACCTGGAGATACGATAAGAGATGTTGGTGATAGTTATCCCCTGATTGTTCCAGTTGCTTCTTGATTGTTTTCAGATATTTCAACGTTTGTTACTGGCAGTTCCCAGGGTTCTGCTGCTGATCACCCCCGTGAGGTGGAAGTAATTACACCAGAAGAGTACATGGGTAACATCATCGGAGATCTTAACAGCCGCCGTGGCATTGTCAACGAGTTGGGCACCCGCAGCAATTTGCACGTGGTGAATGCAAGTGTTCCCTTGGCAGAGATGTTCAGCTACATCGCAGAGCTCAGAAACTTGTCCAAAGGTCGAGCCAACTACAGCATGGAGTTTGAGAAGTACGAACCTGTGCCTGAGAATGTTGCTGAGACTATTGAAGCCAGGAAGTGAGACACAAAATTTGGACTGCAATTCTCTGACCTATTTGGTCACTATTTATATAGTCAGTTTTCAGTCCGCTTCCTTGGCGCGAGGCCCCTCGCGACGTGCAAGGACGTGATATTTTTCTCTGCATATTCTTCCTTAATGAGAGGATTTGGCGGATTTGTATAGCAAATTTAACAGGACAATCAGACGGTAAGAAAAGATCTCAGATGTTGCAGCAGATGTGGCGCTGACGCAATGCCAGCAATGTACAGACAGCCAAGTATTATGTGTTTGCATTTTGTTTTTCTATGCCGCATGATGTTTTCAACAATTTGTTTGTTCCCATCCCTTTTGAATGATTCTCATAATGCTTTCAGGAAATGGCTCAACCGCCACCAAGTTCATTAAAACGAACATGTGTAGTCTATACACATACATATAATCGCATACACATAGACATGCATTTCTTATGGATCCAAGTGGTTTATGAAGTCTGACTTGGGTTCGATCCATAGGGATTCATATTACATATACCCTAGGTTAAACTAAGATAGATGTGGGAAACCCATGGTTTCCCTACGAAAATGATCTACAAATGGTGGATTTTTCACATCGAACTGTTAGTTTACAGGATGGTATCTATACCCAGAGGCTTAAAGCTGGCCACCCCACGTCCTTTCAGGCGCCTGGAAGATCGATGATGTGGGAACTGGCGAAGGAAGTGCCACCGCATCAGGCACAGCCGTTGCACGTTTTGGGCGGGGGTTGAGTCAACCACCACAAGAAAAGATGTGTTCAACAAATTTGGCTAGGCAAAAATTGATCAAAATTGGTAATTCGCAAAATGAGGCATAGGTCTGGGTGGCCATGAATGATCGATATGTTATATAGTTCTTTTGCAATTTTGCATTTGAAGTTTTTGATCCACAGCCAAAATCGGTACTTTCTGTTGATTTCCAAGAACGGCCCGCCATGTGTTCATCAACAAACATGAGTGTGTTACCCAACATTTCCCAACCAAACTCTATGGAGACAACTGGGTTGATGTTTCGGGTGAGGAAGTGCTGGCGTGGATTGTTTCACCACCAAAATGTCAAAAACGTATTTCTGGTTCAAACCTTAATTGCATATATAGACTTAGACCAAATTTGATTCAAAAAGTGAACGCCGCCAAAGTACTGAGCAAATTCACCCACCAAAGAGCGGGACTTCAGACCTACTGCAAGATGGGAGATCCCGAAAGTGGCAGGATATCACCTCAAAAGTGGCCAGAGCCATGCCCACGTCATTCCATGTCCATCCAAAGCTGGTGAGGTCCAGAATACCAGGCAGTTCTGCAGGCGGAAAAGGTTTGGGTCTCAGTCTGGTCAAAAGGTCACTGGGTATGTAGCTTGTTTGTTTAAAACAAGTTATGCAATTCTTTTGTCTTGATTCTGTCGCATTTCTTTAACAAATACCCGACAATGTAGAAAAAAATAACCAGAAATTACTTAATTACCTTAATTCTCCTATGTTTGTCATTGATTAATTACCGTTGTGCTGTGAGACGCCGAGGATTTTCCATTGCCACCACTATTTCCAAGGTGCGCGGCAGCCTGACGAAGCAGGTCGAGGAAGCTGAACGACGTTTTGAGGCGGGGCAGGTAGGAAAGGGGGAACTAGTGGCCCATGGTGGCCCTGATTTGTCCGTGGAAAAGTCATGAAAAGTTAGGTCCAAGCCTTGGAAATCTCTTAAGAAATATAGGATCAGGATTGGAAGAGGTGGACCTTCAGAATGTCCAAAACCACCCTCAAAAAAAATCTGAACAGGTTGTAAAAGTTGGGTTCAGACTTGGATTCTCTGAATGGACAGTTTTTGGGGGTTCTTGTTGAATTTATAGGGGTGGGACCAGCTGCATGGCCCCGACATACTAGAGATGGCTTCGTTTGAAAGGGGACACCACTCCAGTGTGGGCCCACAACTGCCCAGTACCGCCCACCATGCAAAGCATGAAGACAGACACCGATGGGTCGTTGCCTTGTGCAAGCTCGCTTAGCCTATCGGTTGGACACCAAACGCCGTGCATTGAGTTGTTTTCTCCTTCTTAACTTATTACTTTAATGATCTTTAAATCTAATCAGGCAAACAGTGTCCCCATCAGCCGAGAACATCGCAGGCCAAACGTTGGGATGCCCTGAAGTCTGCGATGGAGAGGCTGCAGGATGCCCACATCCAGGAAGACATCTGGGATCGCTGGGCTTCAGCGATCCGAACCGAAAAGCACTGGAGTGCCTCTCGGCTGTCAAGGTGAAGCCATCAAAGCACCAGGAAGGATAGATGGATGGACAATGATGGACATGTATGACTATAGATAACTATAGTCAGTCATATGACTATAGATCATATGCTTGGCAAGTTTAGTGCCCATTCCGATTTTTTAGCATGGCGGCATGATGACGCCCAGTTGAATATAATTGAAGCATGCTTCCAGGGGTTCGCAGGGGATGAAACAGTTCAGATTACTTGGACAGGACATCAATGTCTCGCCAGTTTGCACGTCAATATCCTATGAAAGAAACAGATAAAGATTGTGTATTCCAATTTTCGCCTGTTGTTGATTGTTGAAAGTTATGAGCCCCTCAATTAATCCACAATGGATAGGTACCCCAAAACAGATAGAGAAGAAAATCACCCCGAAAATCTGCGAAAGTATATCAAATTGGTGGGGTCCGGATTATTCCAACTTCAGAAATATGTTTGTGAAACCCGTTTATCCAATTAAAGTATTCCACTAATATCCCATTATTATCCCAAGATTATCCCATTCTCATCCCATTATTATCCCATAATATCCCATTAAATTATATTCCCATTTTATTCCCATAGTATATTCCATTAAAACAAAACAATAAATATTTTATATGTCCAAAACTCACCGTTCTTGATGTTTAAACTGTTTAATGAACATGTATGGACACATTCTATCTCATAATGTGCATTCTATTCCCATATTCATGAATATATACTATAGTATTAGATGACAATCTCGTAATATGTCCCTGAGATCTTGCACGCTGTGAGCGGAGCGGCTTTGCAGCTGAAACGACGGCTGCACACTCGACGTTTGGAGCGGTCGGATTTGATGGTTTTTTTTGTTGTTTGGGCTTATGAGATTTAATGGGATTTATGGGAGTTCAATGGGGTTTTAATGGTAAAATAGCAGGAACATTTATTATAAATGAAGGTCTTAATAGGGAAATCTACTATTTTATGGGGTTTAACCATCTAACATTGTGATTTGATGGATATATACATGGGATACAGTTGGAATATAGCATGCACCTTGGTTTGCTGAAGATGATTTGGCTTCTTTTCCCAATGGCTCCCAAGTCTCGGGATTGTTTTATTTTCCCACTGGAAAAATCGACTATAAATATTATTTTGGAATGGTTGAAACCACCAGCCAGGATGCTGCAAGATACTACACTGGTCATTTCTGGTCTCTTATATGTTCTATTCAAGCAGGCACGTTTTGGACGCTTGGGTCTAGGTGTACCTGCACTTGTTCCACCAGATCCTGAGCTCATTGGGTTTCAGCATGATTTCAACGGGATGTGTTCTCCAAAGAACCAATTGAAAAGCGGGGCTGGAGCCAGTCGCCCTACAGGAGGCTGTATTGCAAGCCGAAAAGGTCTCACTGACCCAGCTACATGGCAGGACTTAACTTACCCGGGTTAGGGAGGTTTTCTTGGACCAAACATGGGAATTGAGTCATTGAGTCTGCAAAAATGGAGCTTTGATGGGCTTTCTGGATGAATCGTTGTTTAAATCATGATGGGACTACCACGGATTACCCCTAAAGTTTCAGGAATGGACCCCCAAAACGCGCCAAAACCGCGCCATCTCAGGCTAGACGAGGCCGCAGACGCAGCCGAAGCTGGTCAGGTGGAGTCTGGCATGCCATGGGGGGTGTTGATGATGCAACTGCCAAGATTTGGAAAAAATGTTCAAATCCAAACAGATCATAATCATATGTGCATTTTAAGCATCATCAGATGTAGATAGATGGGGTAAAATCGATAATATACACATATATGACTGGCAGAAGTAGGATGAAGATCCCATTTCACTGTCATAGAACCACCAACCAGCAGGGTGAGTTACAGTAGGGGACCCATTCTACAGGGATTCCAAAGGGATGGTTTGTGCTTTGGGTTTCCGTCAATTTCCCATTGCAAGGTTAGATGATGACTTTATTGGGTGATGATTACTGTAACATATTTATATTATATATCTACACCGTCATGCCTAACATGATGAAGCAACTGAACCCAGTAAATCCAGTCAAAACCCTTTAAATCTGATGATTTCGATCTTTTCTGAATCGCTGCATGTCGCAGGTGGACAAGGACTTAGTGGCCAAGGCACGAGCGGAGGCCAGTACAGCGCGTCAGAGATGGAAGGATGCCAAGGACCCGAGTTCGAAAGGGGAGAGAGACCTGTTATGGAAGATCTATTAATATAACCTCCGGCTATTTAACATTGCTATGGACAATGGCCCTCAGTGGCCCATTTGTAGATGATTTATTATGATTTACTAATTAGAAATGGTGATTTTCCATAGCCACGTTGAATAACAAAAGGGTATAAAGCATAATGGCACTAAAATGGACTTGCAATGAGAGGATATATTGATGTACCCGTACCCTTTATGTCTTGTCCTTTCAAACCATGATGAGAATAGGAACGCTTTGAACATATTATTAGAATAGAATGGGTAATATAAAGATGGTGAGTTACATTCCCAAGTAGTAGTAGTGATCATTGGAAAACATGGCTCAAATGCAATCATTTCATCGGAATGGGAATCTTGTGGGATGGTGATGGATGGCTAAAACAAGCCATCAATATTATCGGAGTATCATGCGCGTTATATACTTTTATATACCCAATAAGTGGATATAAATGGTGATGATAGGATATACTGCTGGTTTTAAGCAACAACAGTGAGGATGCAATGTAGGAATGTAATGGGAATGTCTTGTGAATATGGAACCAACAAAATATGATGGGAACAGCTCTAAAAATGGGGCGGCTTACCGCCCGGAATGCGATTATAAGGCCGTGGGAACTGCAGATTTCATGGACATGTTGAGTAAACCATGCCGTTGTGAACTCACATGGCACTCGTAGCCATACTGGGAGTTTGAGCAACGCTCATGGAGATATCGAGATTTGCAGTAGACTGCTGGAAGCTGAGAAAATCATCCCATGGAAAATGTGTGCAATGTTGGTGTCCAGTGTCGTCCCTTTTCCACCCTCAGAAACGAAAGGGTTCGAGCAGTTGTTAGCCCTGGTAGGTGTTGGCAGATACATCCTTCCACACGGACATGGAAGCCAAATTGTGGCCATGTACATAGAATGGCAATGTCTCTTTTCCAATGCAGGAAGCCATGGACAAGAAGCTTGTGGACAGAGCAGATGTCATGGTTTGGAAGTTGAAGAAAGGCCGAGTGTGTCCCTTGGACAGCAGAGGGCATCGACCAGACGTTGTTGATGGTTGGAGGAGTGTTTTGTTTAGCCGTTTTTTCACCAAAGAACACTGCAATGGGAAATCCTCTCCATTCATGTGCCTCAGCCATAGGAGATGGTAGGTCTTACCCTCCGGTAAACTAACATAGCTATTGAAAATGACCATTTATAGTGGATTTTCCCATTAAAAATGGTGATTTTCCATAGCTATGTTAGTTTACCAGAGGGTACCCTTAGGTATTGGACCCTTTTTGGTGCTACCAATCTCCGCTGAGGTGTTGATGAGCTGGTCAACAGACAAGGGCTGTTGTGGGACCGGGTGCTGCAGGTGATTGAAAGTGTTCTCGGGCTGTATGGCACATGTACTTGCCTTGGCTTACCATTGCCAATGTTTTTCTTGATGTTCATTCCAATTATATATATATATATTATATTATATTTATGTTTTTTTATATATATATATATGAAGGCATTTCCACCCTGGCAAGCAGCTGGTTGATTTCAAGCTTTGACGCGATCAATTGAAAAGCCAAAAATTGACCAACGGGCAGGTCAATCAACTCCGAAATGTTTTGATTAGATGGGGCTTAATTTTCAGCCCCTTTAAGTGAGGAAACTCATAGTGAACACAATTGATGCGTTTTCTTTCTCAGCTGGACTTGGTTAATTAACCACCACGAAGGGATGTGGTTTCAGTTCTCTGCAAAGAGCTGTGAAACTCTCTCTGAAATGGCTCAGTGGCTGTATTCGTTAGGAGAGGACCCCAACCCAACCACTACGGTTAGTGCAGGGTGGGTTGGGCCACCTTTTTTTGTTGCGCAGGACTTGGTGGATGCCATTCAGGACGCAGAAGCTTCCAAAGACTGGCAGGCCATGCGCGATGCCGTCGCTGGATGGAGCCTGGCCAGCATCAGTTTCTATGTCATATATGTATCCATCGATCCATCTATTCATCCAGCTATCCATACCAAACTGTCTGTCTACAAGTGTATGTATGCAGTTTGCTTCGTGAAAATGATGGGTTTTATAGTGTCCAAAGCCACGCCAAATACCAGATGTTACGCCCAAAAAAATATCCTCGCAGCTCTAAGGACAGAGGAGCGCCCTGGGATTGAGCATGAGGCCGGATCATCATGGCCGACCAAGGACGGAAACATCATGCGCAGCAATCGTTCATTTTATCCTCCGCAAACATCGACTTTTGCATATTTTTGCATGATCTTCTAGATGCATAGTATATTAGTATGTATATATATATATATATGGGTGATGGGGTGTATAAATACACGTGATCATTTTTTAGGGGAACCAGGGGAATGGGATAATAATATTTCGTCGTCCGATTCTAATATCTCCCTTCTATCCATTTAGTGTTGGAACCCGATTAGTGTCATGGGACTCTATTGTGAGACAATTCCCGAAAATTATTGCGTATTTTCGAACACTTTGAAAAGAACCTAATTGTGAGAAGTTTTTTCTGAGATCCAATTTTTCCAGGAGGAGCTTTATCCACCTTTATCCACCTTTCTTTTGGCATAGCTGGTCCATTTACTCTTGAAAGCCATATCCATGTTAAAGCCTTGAAAATGCAAGGTTTCTCACATAATTAGATGCCTTATTAAGCTCTTATTAAAAGACAGCACCCAAACAAATTTTCAAGGGTGTACCCCATGAGTGGCCCAGATCCTCAAAAATGTAATTGTTTCGATGGCACCCTATTGTGCACAAAAACTTTTGGGGCGAAAAAAAAAACACAAAACCTTAAACCTTTTATCCACCTTTCTTTTGGTAAAGCTGGTCCATTTACTTTAGAAAGCCATATCCATGTTAAAGCCTTGAAAATGCAAGGTTTCTCACATAATTAGATGCCTTATTAAACCCTTATTAAAAGACAACACCCAAACAAATTTTCAAGGGTGTACCCCATGAGTGGCCCAGATCCTCAAAAATGTAATTGTTTCGATGGCACCGTATTGTGCACAAAAACTTTTTGGAGCGATTTCTTTTGGATTAAAAACATGAAATCAATTGAAAGTAGATTCAAAGGAATTGAAAGTAAATTGGTTTCAATTGAAATCCTTTGATAGATTTCTTTGAGGTTTAAAAGGAAAATCAATTGAAAGTAGATTCAAATGAATTGAAAGTAAATTGATTTCAATTGAAATCCTTTCTTATCAATAGATGTGTTTGAGGTTTAAACGGAAAATCAATTGAAAGTAGTTTCAAATGAATTGAAAGTAAGTTGATTTCAATTGAAATCCTTTCTTATCAATAGATGGTTTGAGGTTTAAAAGGAAAATCAATTGAAATTAGATTGATGTTAATTGAAATCCTTAACTATCCTAAAAAATTGTTCGGGGGGGCCGAGAAAATGCCAAGTTACTGAGTAGCCTAAAATTGTTGGAGGGGGGTGGTCTACACTAATCAGTATCCAACATTATATCTGGTGGCTGTTGGCTTTAAGATGCCTATGACCGGTTCTGAATTTCTGGGTATGTCCCATTTCAGGACCAACCCATATATCCGCTTTACATTTGCTATATGTGTCATGGTCAAAAGCTGGATTTTCTCTTGGCCAAGAGGACGACGAAGGGGGCCCTGCAGGTTTTTCAACGCATGTGAGATGACCACAGCCCATTTTTGCAGTTGATTGTGGGGTTCAAATATCATGTCTCAACCAGACTTGGGATGATTGGTTGAAGTGACAAATAGTTTTCAGATGGTTTTCAACCACCAACCTGCAAATACAGATTATATTCCCATTAAAACCTCCAATTTATAGTTGTGTTCTTTTAATAAAAATTGCCACGTTTGACACCGGAGGCTATCCATTCCCCAAACCCCCAACCGACCGTGTCGTGATGCAGGCCTTCAAGGCGCCGGAGAGTGCCACGCAGCTCTTCCGCGCGGCGCAGAAGCGGCAAGATGAGCTGCGGCTGCGGGAGCTACGGCAGGCATCCGGCAACGGGTATTGTTTTAAAGGTCACCGTTGAAATATTCGGGATAGAATAGGGATACAACTGGGATGTAGGGATAATTGTTCGGAATATAGTGAAGTATGATCTGGATGGGTCGTTGATGAGTTCGAAGCATCGCGTTTTTGCAGTCGCCTGTGGGATTTGTTCCCTTTTTTCCCAGAAAAATGGGTCTCGAAGATTCATTTTGTTCGCACCATTTTTTTTGCCATAAGTATGGGATCCATCAGGGGTGCAATTGTAAGCAAAGCTGACAGACAATATCAGACAATAATAATTGTCATGACGATCCTATACCTGCCAATAGTTGATACCCTGAATAAGGGACCCCAAAATGGATGGCCAATAGTAAACCAGGATTTCGTTTAGAGGGTGTTTTGTATAGGGGTAAGGGGTTAGCACGGACGTGGACAGGGACAGATACTTCCGAAATCCCTGGGAAAACACTTATATATTTCCAAGGTTCCCGTATTGTCCCGTATCTATGGTTGGTTTTCAGTTGGTATAAAAAAACCCTGATCCAGTTGAGGTTCTCCCTTAGCTGGAACTACAACTTCAAGTGAATTCATGCAACTGGGAAAACCTGAAATATCTGATGAGTGAATGCCTCGAACGATTAGAGGCTACCGTTCAATCCTTGCGGTTGAACATGGATCCAGTGAGAAGCCCCATATATCCCAGGTAAATATTGGGCAGTTATGGGCAGTTAATATCCATTATTATGGGACTACCTCTGGTATTTGAACGGGTCACCGGGAAGATTTTAACGACCTTCCTGGCCTCACGGCCTCAGGATGTCAACGACATTCTCAACAGCCGCCGGGATGCAGCGAGTGGTCGAGCTGTGCCCAGTGCCAAAATCGATACGAAGATAGAGTTTGGATTCTGCTACTTCCATCATTGCTGGTTGGTGTTTCAAACATTTGTTTTCAATTATTTTCAAGCATATCGAATCATATGGTCTTTGGGATGATGATCCCCACTGCCTTGTTTTTTTTTTGATGGGCTTACCAGCTGACCTGCTGCTGCCATTTTGGCTCAGAAACAGGGCAAGGTCCCCGTAGAGTTAGGTTTTTTTGGTTCACAACCGTCGCTCCGTGGCTGCAGCTGGGATTTGCTTGAAGTATCTGGGAAACTGCGGGGGTCCAGGGAGTGATTCCCTCTTTCGGTCTCCAATAACCCTTAAAGTTGGCTTCACGACACAAAGGTGGGCGGTTAGGCTTGGGCAAATGTGCATTAGCCATACACAGGGGGGAAGTCGCCGGCAAAAAATCATTATGAACCATTCCACTAAAACCGATCTAGAAGCCATTTTTTTTGCAAAATACACCGGCCAAGCCAAACCATGTGAACCCTGTAAGAATCTGATCCCAACGTGAGTAGCTCCAAGGTCAATTCATTGCAAGGAGCCGCACAGAAACCGCTGATGGCAGGCTACAGGGCACCTCGCCTTAACACGCCATGGGGCACCGTTTTTGGGGCCGTGAAGGGGCTTGTGTCATCTGTGACATCAGGATTCTTTAGGGGTTGGAACAACCATCCAGGGGATGACATAGATATCACATTTTCCACCACTGGATATACGTATGGTTTGCTTCGTTTGTTTAAATGTTTGGGCGCCTAAAAACTATCAATCATCATTTAATTATGTGAACAGTCTTATGTTCCCTGACTACGTTCTTGGTTGGTTTTACGGCCCCTGACTACCAACACGGAACCCAACGGCCAACGTGCAGTTTCCAGATCCAATGAGGGAAATAAAAGATGCAGACAATAGACCAAAAAAAACAACTCCATTTTGTAAGATTCCATATTAGTTTCCACCAGAAGAGTGTATCCATATGAACTGGCTACTTATTCATCAACAACCATGGGGGCTTAAGCTTAGCAAAATGGCTGATACTTACATCACATCTATTCGGTTTTATACTTTTTTGGCTGTTTTTGGTTTGATTGCTTTGAATCATTGATTCCCCAATCATTCTTGATTTGTTGTCCATTTCTTCGTTGATCCCTATCATTCCCCAAAGGGTTGCAGTGTCAAAAACCTCAGTTGATTGATGACCCCAAAGGGTTACACTTCCGCGCATGAGCTGGGAATCCTCAGTATTGGGGAAACAGTGGATATATAGTTTGTTGCTTGAAAAAAAATAGTTATACATATTAATTATAAATGACTATGTCCACTAATCAGCTGAGCATCTATTCTTGTGTGCAGGCTACCTACGATTGGCCATGTTATTTTGTTGATTTTCCATTCAAGTTTTATGAACCAAGGATTCGCTGGTAGTTTGGTTCTTTGGAATCATGAAATGGCCCATATATAAAATGATACTCAGTGGGAAATCACCATCGGAAATGATCCAGGCATGGGATAGGATATATATGATATGATGATATGTACCCAGTTTATTACTGTGGCTGTGATCTACTTTATTCTTACAAGTTAGTCCCCTTTCATGAGGGGACTCCTAATGACCAGGGTTCACCAATGGTTGATTCGCTGAGATCTGGGCATGGCTGGCCCTGCTGCAGCTGGCTGCTGCGCGGGTAGGGATGACCAGCTCAGCATTGACCACTGGAACCTTCGACGGCTTCATCAGAGGTGCGGACAAGGCGCTGGTGGATTTCTATGACAGGACCGGAGGAGGAAACGACCTGTTGAAATGAGGTAAATTGGTGTTGTTGTGCGTTGTCGTCATGGGAAGACAACCGCAAGGAATGAAATTTGACCAACAAAAACGGATTGCGATTCTGAGTGGGCCTTGGTGGTAGGGCAATATGTCGGGCTCAATGGAGGATTTTAGCCCACACATGGGGCGGGGGATATACAAAATTTTACTGTTATAAGATTATATATTTTTTGGTGGGGCATAGACGCTTACCCATGGAGAGCATGGATCCGCGCAGGAACATTGATGGATGGGCAGAGCAGAAGGGCGAACTGGAACGGGCCCTCAGAGAGGCCAAAATTTTCTGGCCGAGAAGTCAGGGTTGCAATATGGTGCAATGGAATGCAATGGGAACATACCCTTTGGTAAACTAACATAACTATGGAAAATCACCATTTTCAATGGGAAAATCCACTATTTCTATGGTCATTTTCAATAGCTATGTCAGCCATTACCAGAGGGTAATTTCCCCACATGACTACTGATTTGTTTGAGCATCATCCGCCGCATCGGCGATCGTCCAGTGTTGCGCGTAGGCTACTGTGCAGTGCGCGTGGGCGCTGCGTAGGGAATTTTGATGAATTTTGAGGATGATGTATATGTTTGAAGTACAAAGGAAAACTCTGCTCACATGTCAGATGATTATCCCATTTGATTGTTGTATAATTTGATATAATTTTGATGAGAGAAGTTGAAGCCACCAACTATTCTAGGGAAGGAGTCTCGAAAGTGGTCGCCACTGCTGACTTGCGAGGTGAGGGATTACGGGAGCAGAGTGGCTTTTGCGACAGTGGATGCCGTGGCTGAGAAGGATTTGGCCAAGAGATATGTTCCAAGTGGCAACTATCCGCAGCTAATGTGGCCGCTTGACCAATATCTCATAATGGGTGCCTGGTGCCTAGGGAGCCCTTTTGCTTCCATTCCGCACGTTTTTTTGTTTTTGTTGACTTGGCCGTTTTGGGGACGTCCTAAGTGATGTGCTGGTCTTTCATTGTTTCTCCAATGGGTTGGTAGAAGTCCCATGGTCTGAACATCAATTTTATTGTCATCCACCAAAGATAATCAAGAAATATCAATCAACAAGCTACAAACATCATCAAACGTCTCAGTTTTTGCCCTTTTCAGAACTTCCATCAACTCTCAAAGTTTCTCCAAAATCCCTGCCTGCCTTCTGTCCTCCGCGGTCCAAGGTTCACCCATGGTGAGCCCACGCAGTACCATCGCTCGCTGCGCACGGCCAAGGCGATGACCGACTTTGTTCTAGCGCTGGACCGAGATCCCATGTTAGAGGCGGGGCCGGAAAGGATGAATCTCCATGAATCTCCTTGATTCCCAAGTACAAATTACAGATTAATTTATAGATAATTTATTATAATTTATATATATATATCAGTATATAATTATCCTACAAGCCTGTTCTACCAACGATAAACATTTGATTCCTTGAGGTCAAGAGCCAAGAGGAGGCCGCATCTTCCTTCAACCGCGCTGTCTATGGTACCGTGAAGCGGGGCTCGCCCGGCTACAAGGCCTTGGAGGTGCCCGTTTTTGGCGAAACTCACGGGGCGGTTCTCGGTGGTAGAAAATGCTGCTTTGAACAAAGAACTACAAAGATGAAGGCAGCAATCCAACATAAGAATGGTGATATATGGTCAGTACATGGAAATGTTCAACCAAGAGACGTGGAATGATGTGGATTCAAGCAGCACAAAGGGCACAAAGGGCACATCACCTAGCAAAAATGGGATTGATGACAGATGTTTGAAGGCATTTTCTGGGCAGTGACCGGCGACAACATAGTACATAATCTATATGTGGTATTATATATATATAATTAGTTGTATTATAGTTATATAACTGAGGAAATTTGGAGGTGTATAAATGGTGACGTAGCATCTTGACTCGCAGTGCAACATGGGCCATTTCCGATGTCGTCGCCAGGTGGTGGCGGCCAAGCACATGGACACCGTGGCCGTGACCTTCCGAGAAAGCGCCGAGAATCAGGTGCTCTACCTGGACGAAGGCAAGGGCGAACCCGTGGCGTACAATGGCCAGTTGGATGCCGGATCTCTGGATCAGTGGCTCAAGGAGCTCCTAACGAAATCGGAGCCTGGCCGTTGGGAATGGGGAACCCAAGAGCCCAGTTAAGGGCAAAATTACTGGAGAGTCGACGTTCAAGTTGTTCTCTGACGTGTCTGTAGGAAGATGAATCTAAAAATGAAGCCAAGATGCTGCAAGTGAAGGCATGTGAAGGCTTTCAGATGGCTGGTTCGACCTAGGAACCTATTCCAGAGGGGCATCCGGTGTACATCGATGGTTCCCTCGTAGTGGTGGGCAAGACCTTTGAAGAAGTCGTCTCGAATAAGGACCAGGATGTTTTTATGCTGCTGGGCTGTTTGGAAATTCCAAGGGGATACTCATTGATTTCATGGCAGCAAAACCAACTCACTTATCCAGTATTGCAATTTATCCATATTTATCCAAAGGTGCAAGAGACAAGGGGACTATCCCAATAACATATATATATTTATATATACATACCAGTAGTACCGCACAAGGCGGTGGCGGAAGTTTCAAAAATAGGAAACCTATAGGAGACGTTGGTTGTTGTGAATCAGGGATGGCAGAGCGAAGCCACTGATTGACCGAAAGGTGGTTGGAGTTGTGTTTGCCGGAGTGGTTGCAATGGTTGCAGTGGTCACCTCTTCCTCACCTGCTGGATGTAGTGTGATGTACTGCAACTGTAGTTGTAGTTGTAGCGTAGTGGAGTTGTAGTTGCGGTGTAATGTAATTAGTGTAGTGTAGTTGCAGTCATATAGTTGTAGCTGTAGTTGTTTTGTAGTTGTAGTTGTAGTTGTTGTAGCTGTAGTAGTAGTAGTTGTTGTTGTTGTTGTAGTTGTAGCTGTAGTTGTTGTGTGGTTGTAGTTGTAGTGTAGTGTAGTTGTAGTAGTAGCTGTTGTAGTTGTAGTTGTTGTTGTTGTTCTTGTTCTTGTTCTTGTTCTTGTTGTTGCTGTTGCTGTTGTCGTCGAAGTTAGGGTAGTTAAGTTAGTGAAGTTAGTTAAGTTAGTCAAGTTAGTTAAATTAATCAGTGTCTACTTTTTCGACATCTTCACGTCAAAAAAGGCTCAAAACCCCCAGTTTTTTTACACTTTTGACTTCGAAATGTGCTTCGCGCCACAACGGCGTGCACTTTTTCGACATCTGAACCTCCAAAAGTGGTCCGAGACCGTCAGTTTTTAACACTTTTGACTTGGAAATGTGCTTCGCGCCACAACGGCGTGCACTTTTTCGACATCTCAACTTCAAAAAGTGGTCCGAACCTGGTGTGTTTTGTACATTTTGACTTGGAAATGTGCTTCGCGCCACAACGGCGTGCACTTTTTCGACATCTGTTTTGTACATTTTGACTTGGAAATGTGCTTCGCGCCACAACGGCGTGCACTTTTTCGACATCGCAACTTCCAAAAGTGGTCCGAACCCCTGGTGTTTTGTACATTTTGACTTGGAAATGTGCTTCGCGCCATAACGGCGTGCAATTTTTCATCGCTCCTGTGGCCAGCTGGCTCCGCACCCGCCGCTTTAGCGAGCCTACTTTTCCACCCTCCGGAGCCCCAAATCATTGGAAATACACAGTGTTTCGCGACTTTCCTACCTTTTCGCGCATCTGCATCTTCTTTCTTCTGACTCTTTCTCTTCTGACTCTTCTCACCTCTGCTTTTCAACTGTCCATATTGTCGGAAGTTTCACTTCTAAACTTCCTTCGATTATTTTATAATATATATATACTATTTTACAATTATTATACATATATGTATAGTATAGTATATATACTGTATGTTCAGATAAAGATATATATATATATATTACATGTGTGTGCGTGAGTATGTGTATCCACATATCAACTGCCTTGTTGGTGGCTTCAGTGGACGTATTGTCTGGGTCGAACCCGAAGACCCAGAGGTCCTTTTGGTCAGTACCTCTTTTTGAGCTATTGGGAATGATATGAGATGACCATGGGCTTCTGAAATAGTTTATGGATAGCAGATGATAGCAGGGCCAACCGATTTTTCCTGGCACAAACAGTGCAACAACAGTTGTCGTTTCAAATCTGTCCTGCCAGACCCTTCTTGGGCAGTGTGAATTTGCTACATGTTGGCTACTGTTTGGCCAAAATGGGAAAAGACTGGCAGCCAAGGATCATGTCTGTGCACAGTATCTAAGATTCGCCATGAGTGGATGCGTCTACCAGATGCTTCCCCACATTTTAGGCAGCTCCCATGGGTGTCTCACATATCGAGGCTCGTCTATGCACCTTGGTGTGGCTTCTCCCGAAAAGTTTTGCCTGTTTGGAAATCCTTCGCGCAAGCCGTGTCACAGGTGGGATTGGCTTTCATTCCTTGAGGTTCTTGCTGTAGAGCTGAATCATCCCATGTCATCCAATTTCTTGGCTGCGATCTTCCATGGTTTCCCTTTCGCTTTGTTGATCGCATGGTGGAACATGGTGAAATCATCAGAAATTATCCCATTTTCGGGGCCAGGTGAAGCATCTGGTGGTGGCGAAGATGGATGGCGATCAAAATAGTTCGCCATTGCAGGAGGAGTTCTCCTGGACTTCCTATCCACACATTTTCTTTGTGAAGGCGGTGTTCGTTGGAATCATTTTGAAGGACATATATGTGTGTGTGTGCATGTGTATGTGTATATATATATGATTATATATGTATGTATTAATGATTAATTATTAATGCATACATAAACATACATATATATATATATATCTAACATATATATATATCTATCTAACATATATATATATAACATATATATATATATTACATACATTAGAAATATACAACATATATACATACATATATATATATACATACATACATACATAGATACATACATACATACATACATACGTACATACATACATACATACTTACTTACATTACATTGCATTGCATTGCATTACATTACACTACATTACATACATACATACATTACATACATACATTCAATACATACATTACATACATACATTACATACATACATACATTACATACATTACATACATTACATACATTACATACATTACATACATTACATACATACAGTACAGTACAGTGCAGTGCAGTGCAGTGCAGTACAGTACAGTACAGTACATACCAAAAATATAGCATATATATATCATATGTATATATATATGCGTGTTTTTCAGGAAATCCTCAAATGTCAAATTTGGATGGTATAAATACGGTATAAACTAGTAAAAACTCATGTGTGTCCTCATGTGTGTAAACTTATTGTTTAACTTCCCGTGAGTCAAAGCAGTAAAATGGGGCTGGACCTTTGCTGAGATCACCCAACCTCTTGGTTCAAAGAGATGTTAACATCCAGAGGTTCAATCTGCCTACAGTACATCATGGGATGTTAAGATTTAAAATAGATGAAAATTGAATATCATTCAGTTTCGCCCAGGGATGTTAACATACTTATCATTGGACCAAAGATTTGCTCTTCTTTAGGGCCTCGCTTTTGATTTTGGAGAAAAATGAACCATTTGCTGAGGTTTCAACTCTTCTTCGAGGATGATGATCCCAAACGAATCTCACCGCTTTCTTCAATCCACCCCCTACCTGCAATCGATCGCAAGTATTTTTCTCATTAAAACCTCTCCATAAAAATATTTAAAGATTGTGGTACAAATTTTAATGTTCCCGTTAAAACCTCCATCTTTACCGAGGATTTTGTCATACCTTGTTGTCGCACACGCTATAAATAGCTATCCCCAAAGATCTCCATGGCGATCCCCATGGCTAGGCCGGAACAAAGAAACCCATCGTCTTCCATGGCAACCGGACCGTGTCACACTTCGTCCAGCCCGGGGGCCCAAAACATCCGGCACCGAAGCCTCAACCCAGCATAGTAAGGTGACTGACTGATGGGCGACTATGGGTGAAGTATGGATTTAAGATATTTTAAGGATGTTTCATGATTTTTCGGTGTAAAGATGATATGTTGAAGTTCAAGTTACATTACATCAAGCTATGTATTTTCGTCTATTTTCAAGTGAATCAACATGGGGGGTTCCATAAATGGAGGTGGCCCCAAAATTGATGGTTTATATGTTTATATGTTTATATGTTTATGGACAATTCCCCTTTCACAATATGAAGGATTTCGGCTACCCCTCTTTTGTTCGGAAGGCCATTTTGCAGACATCGAATGGGCCCAGAAAGGCCACGGCTTTTCCACATCCAGATCTCACATCTCCGAGTCTCCGAGGTTCGCCGAAGAGCATGGCTCCAAGCGTTTGGAGCTGGATCCCAGCATCTCGCTGGATGATCTCAACGAACTCTGAGAGTGAAAAAGATACGCGATGGCGAAGCTGCTGCTGGGGGGGCGATGGGGCACTGGGAGTCTGGGAGTGGTGGGTTAATCATGGTTAATAATGGTTATTCATGCTTAATCATGGCATACTGCTTGGTGGTTTGGAACTTTTTTATATTTTTCCCATCATATTTGGAATATATAATCATCCCAACTGTTACTCACGAAGTCTTATTTTTCCGAGGGGTCGGGTTGAAACCACCAATCATGGCATATCATGGCTGCCAGGAGCTGTCCCCAAGTCATGGTTTGGAGGACATGTCCCTATCTTGGAATATTTTGAGACATGCCGACTTGGTGCACTCAAAACTGTGTATGTACAGTAAACATCAGTAATTAAACCTTTTGTGAATGGTAGGTCATGCTCAGATTTTTTGTTACTCTTTCCAGAGCTTAACTCTCCCGTAGGACATCTTAGTTCATGTTTGGTCGATTTGGAGACCCACCATATCCGCAATGGATCGCGTTGGACTACCTGGATAATTTTTGGAAATATTTTGGGGCATAACCATGTGGTGCCCATGTGCGACATACCCATACTAGGATTTGTCTGGAGATAGGCAGATAGGCCCCTTAAAAAAAACATGATTTCTGATTCGACTTTTTGATAAAGAGTCTTTTGTCTAGCATTTTTTCTAGATGTCTGATGATTGTTTGACAAAGGTCCTTTTGTCTAACAAATTTTCCAAATTTTCTGGACCCCATCATGGTGTCCCTGGTGCCCTGCGACCTCTCCGTGGCCCAGGTCTGAAGGATCCCATGTCCTCACTGTCTGCCACGGAAGCGAAAGCGGAATTGCAGCGCTGCGCCAAGTTGGTGCGCGACGCTCGGCGGGGAAAAAAAACAGGCGTTGGTTGATGATGATTGCAGTTGTTGAAAGGGGAATACAATGGGTAGCAGGTTTTCTAAGTATCTTGAACCTTATAATTGAGTAGTGAATTATTCAATGCGGCTTGAGAATGATGAACCTATCGGTTTTAGGGCTTTCGACTCAAGAGAAGATTGGCATAGGCATAGATCTATGCAGGTGTTTCATGGTGTTTCCAAAGATGGGGGAGGCCTAACACATTTCAGGTGCCAGGCTGGTCCAAAATGTCGCTGTCAGCAATAGGGATTTTCCATGAGTTTCCAAAATCGGGGCGTTGCCTTTTTGCCCATCCCATCAACGAGTCTTTGGGAATAGATTTTGCGAAACCTTGGCTGGGTGGGCTGCAATGGATTATTTCCCGCTGTCTATAGATTTGGAATGATTGGGAATGTAATGATCATATACACTCCTCTCACAATTGACAAAACCTTGCAGTGCAGTGCATCCAAAATAGATCATGTCATCCCACATTTTGGCGCACGAAAAAATCACCCAGGAGATGCTGAGATTGGGCTGGGAAATGACTCCTGCAGCATGGCTGAAATGGTTTGGATGGTTTCTACATGTTTCTATCATGGATGGCAAAATTGGTGGCATTTTATTGTTCACTGCTGAAAGCACAAAAAACAGAGCTTGAACATGTTTGAACTGAGAGAGTGGCACTTAAGTTCTATGGAAAATCGAAATGGTGGTTTAAAATGAATGATGGTACCCCAAAATGGATGGTTTGTAATGAAAAATCCTTTTGACATGGATGATTTGGGGGTACCCCCATTTTAGGAAACCTCCAAATGATGTTTGCTGAGGCGCGAAATGCTCGCCTTCTTCTAGCCTTAGGAAAGGTCAAAGCTGAAGGAGGCCGAGAGGTCACTCAGCTGGTGATAGTGCCATCATGTGTTTGTTATGGACAAGTCAACCAACAACACAACAAATTACATGAACTACATGGTCTTCTATCATGGATAATTATATAACATGCAGTACATTTGTGGCAGAGGGATATGTATATCTATATTCTCTGTATATGTGTATGTATGTAGTATAGGGGATATATATATATATAGAGAGATGCGACACTTTTAGGTATTTCAATCATTTGGATGCATGTTTGTGGGAAATCCCCTCCATGGGCAAGATTCATCTTTTTCAACGGAATCAGTCATCACGGATACTTGGGGACCTGCCTGTCAGCAACAATTCTTTGGAGCTTTGACGGTGGAGCCTTTTTGAGGTCAGCCTTGCACGCTTCAACGCGGCTTTGTTGCAGATGCTGGAAGGCTGGCAGCTGTGTGGTGGGACATGACTGTCTGAAGGGTTCAGGGGTTCGGCAACCAGAACAACAATGATGTGTAGGTGACTGTAGGTGTGCGTGTGGCATACCTGGTGGTTCATTTTGCAAATTTTATTATTTCACCTAGTAATTGTTTAAGTAGGTTGTGAACCGAACCCGGTGACAAAGTAAGCAGGCTTAGCCCACTTGGAACTGGGCTTGTAGCCGTTAAGACCTAAGTAGGATGAACCACCAAGTAGATGTATGTCATCCATTCGTTTGTTTGGCCTAAACCAAATTCGATGCAGTTGCAGCTTTCTCGTACCTGAGTACCTGAGTCAGACCCAATCCACCCTGGCGATGGGTAAAATCACACTCCTATAGGAGACAAATTACGAATCCATTACTTTTGCCATGGATTTTCCCATTTTTGGGGGATTTAATGCACTGAGATACTATGAATTGAATATTGATAATATTGGTGAATGGCTTCTGGGAATCAAACATGTGCCATTGGCATCTATGATTCCATGAGGGTTCCCATTTGACGCCCTGCAGGTTCTCCCCAAGTGGTTTTAGTCTTGGACACCTCCGGAGTGTGACTTGATGCTGGCAGGTTGCACGAGAACACCTGCGCGTCCAAGCGGGGAAACGGTGAATCGTCCACTGGGGATCCGTAGGTGTTGGTCCCTTCTAGTCATGGCATCCCACTTTGGACTTCCCAATTTTGACCCAGACTCACGCAGCATAGGACAATCAGAATGGGGATGCCATACGGTGTGTTGCGTACAGTATATCATAACACCTAGTGGTCCAAACCGGGAATAAGGGATGGAGAAAACATGTCCTAAAACACATCCGTGACGATGCCAACGACAGCATTCCCTTCAATGATGGGCCCCCAATCCGCTTTCCAGTGCCATATTTGACCCCCCCATTCAACTCGTATCCTCTGAATACTTGCCATTACTTGCCTATTTTGTTAGTTTTGATCCATGCTAGTGTTTTAATTACCATGTTTTACCCAATTGTCTATCCATTCTGTTCATTCTTTTCCATTTTTTTCGGGATTGTTGTACCAATGTTTTTGGGATTGTTGAATGTACCCCCCATTCGTTTCATATTTTTTGTCGCATCCAATGGCGGATACAGCGCACAGCAACAAGGAAAGACATGTTCGAGGAGGAGCTGCGAGCGGCCGCCCTCCGCCTGGCGGAGGGCATCCGTCGAAACACCTCAGGTGCGAAGGGCCGGACGAAAGTGAAGAGCATTGGAGAAGAGTTTTGTGTGGGTCAATGGGGATATAATCCGGGATATATGTTTATATATATATATATACATTTATTTATTTATTTCTCTTTATGTTTATATGTTTGTATGCGGGGCATATGTATATATATATACATATGTGTGTGTGTGCATATACATTTATGTAAATGTACGAATGTATATAAACATGAATGTATGTGGTGATGATGAGGATGAGGATGATGATGATGATGATGATGATGACTATGTAAAAATGCCAGCTAGCTGTTGTTTTTTTCAGAACTAAGATTGGCCATTGAAATTATTGAAAATGGGTTCGGGGGCTTCCCATTCAAGCATGGAAATCATGAGCATGCTGAAAATTGGAGGGAGGAATGGCCTGGGGATCCGATCATAGAAATCAAACGCAAATTACCACCCCAATTACCCCAATTGACCTCAATGTCCCACCTTGATATTGCATTTGATTGCAGAGTGTCGTGAAAATTGGGTTTGAAGGTCAGGAAAGCCTGGTTTGTAGCACTGAAAATTGGATAAAGTTGGTGTTTCCTAGCATATTCGCACATCCATGTTAGAATGTTTTAGACGGATGCCATCCAAAGCCAGTGACTTTACTGATCATGACTGCCGCCAGGTTCTGCTTGTGCAGCCCGGGCCCTAGCAAAGACACACACACACACAAACCACGCTGGAGTTGACCCCAAAAACTGCGAAAAATCTGATGAAACTGGTGGATCTTTAGGACCTTAGGAGGGCTCAGGACACCAAATTTGCATGACTGGAAACAATAAAAATACAGAAAACCCTATGCCCGATGATATTTAATGATTTCTTAGTGTGAAGTTATTGCGGATTAGATTCATGTATCACTTTCAAACACCTCGAGGGTTCCTTGCCGCCATAGTGGCGCATCATCCTGCACATGGGCGAATGCATAAGATGTTGGACTGAAAAGCCATGTGCTTTGGCAATCATGTTTAGGGTTTTTTCCCACAGTAAAGTGTGCGCGATACTTTTCCCAGCCAAAAACTTGGGAAAACACACAGGCACGTGCATTTATGACAATGACTTATAAAACATTTATGGCCATTCACCACATGTATCCCTATCTTCTCCATGTCTAAGTCTAGACATAATGGCCATACAATCCATAGAATTAGTGAACTACTTTGTGCTTGTATTGCTGTATGTAATTTTATACAGTATTTCCAAAGGGTTAGCCATTAGCCTTCTAAGTCCACTCATAACGATAGGTTTCACCCCAGCCATCCCCGCCTATGGCAGGTGGTCACCTACAGCCCTGTAGAAGTCCTCTCCGACCTCAGCAGCGACTTCACGCAGCTGCGCACGCTGCTGGCAGGGCTGCGCTGTCGCGCTGGCAAGCCGCAAAGTGCTAAGGCGCTGCGGGAAGCCAAGCAGTACCTCAGTGGCAAAGCCAATGCCATAAAGGTTGCCGGGGATGATATTTACCATAAAAATGGTAGATTTTGGAAATAGTTTATCAATATGTTTACTATTTACCTTGGGGTAAACTAACAGTTCGATGTGGAGTTTACCCAACATGTGCAGGTCTATTTAAAGTAATTGATTTGTTTTTGAGACAGGGAGCGAGAGAGAGGGAGAGACTGTTTTTTTTGGTAGATTTATGCTGGTTCACTTGTTGCTTAACCAACAAAAAAAGGGAATTTCACCAACACAATTGTGTTATAATGGGATATGATAGAGGATTTAGCCGGATTTTTAGACCGCCAATTTTTGAGGAGATAGAAAAAAACAAGAATATATAAGATGCAAACAAGTTTCAGTTTTTCCTTATTTGGAAACAGATTTCCGTGTTCTTGTGTTCTTCTATGTTTTTCGGGGGTGGTATTTCCAAACTAATTAATCGCAACAGTATATAGTATGATTTTGATACAATGCGGATTTTTTTCTGGGATATACAACCAAGAATATGATTTTCTGGGCTGTGTCCAAGAATGGAGGACCCAAATGTTGCTGGTGAATCATGGGAACCATGGGCAAACACCTTGCCATGAACTGGCGCTGGGACACCTCGAGATGAAGATGTAAATTGCTTAATGTGGGAAAGGCAATGTCATCTGGTTGGTGGTGTTTCAAACATGGCTTTTATTTTCCATTTCATCTATGGAATAACTCTTCCCATTGGCTCATATTTTTCAAGATGCTTCAAACCACCAACCAGTCATATTGGGGATGGTCAAAATGCATTTTTAGGTTTCGAAAAAAGTCCGAGATGTGGTCCATGTTGCGCAGATCAGGACCAGTTACTGTAGATTCGATGGATGGGAATGGATTGGATTAAACGATAGATTTCTGATTGGTGGTTTGGAACATGGCCTTTATTTCCCCCAAATATTGGGAATATATAATCATCCCAACTGACTAATTAATATTTTTCAGAGGGGTAGGTATACCACCAACCAGTATATCAATTGGATAACCATTAATAACCATTAACCATTAATAACCATTGAATATTTTTGAATACCATAGATACCCTTGAAATACATCGGGTGTCGATGATTTTCTTCCATTTCTGAGGCTTCTGAAGCTGGAGAAAAGCGAGCCGCAGGCCCAACAAAATAACTTGACTCGACCCATCACTGGACCTCCATGATATTCCATGATTGTGATGCGGTTAAACATGGTTAAACGGAAATGACCCGGAACCTACTACTTAGACCTATGATTACAATCATTAGGCTCATCGACTCATCAACCGCTTAAGATCCCTGGAATGCACATCCAAGTCAATTGTTGCCAGGGAATGCTGTGTTTTTTCTCATCAAAACGGGTCAAGCTGAATCAATCCCGACTTGTTTGAGGCGCCAGACCGTCAGCAAGTGATTCTACATCTCACAGCAGCACCTGAGAACACCAAGGCTGGGGCTGTCAAGAGTCAAGAAAGGTCCAAAAAGTTGGGCTGTTTGGGACCCCTTTAATATTTTAATGTGGCAATCAAAGGTGGTTGGCACGGAATACCACTGTTTATTTTTTCTATCACCTATGAATTGATGGAGCTCGATCAGGTTTTTCATTGTCATGTTACCAGAGATTACCAGAGAGCAAACGGAAAAAGATGGGGGATTGTTGAAATGAATCTTAAAAACAGATGGCTGGGGATGCAAGATGCGGGGGTCTATTCTCGGAATGGCCATATTGTAAGTTTCCTATCAACCAGCATAATTATGGTGATTGATTTATTGCAGAAACCCTTGTGAAAGTGCACTGAAATGCAGCGTTTCGGCATGGGTTTCCAGCATTGTTTACCCAAATCATGAGATCCGAAAAAGGTAAACACAAATGGATAGTCACTTTTGAGTCGCATGAATTCCATGGAATTCCCATAGTTTGGGACCCAAAACCACCTTTGGATTTTGACCCAGATTAGACACCCCTCCGGACCTCTGGAGGATTCACAGAAGGCCTTGAAAGTGCTGGATGCCCTGCAAGTCTCGGTCCTGGGCTTGGGCATTGGTAGCGTGAAGGCCGGCTCTTGTGAGACTGAAACAAGTGGCCGCAAGGACAACTCAGACAACCTACCATGGTTCTTGAGTCTTGTTTTGTTGGTTAATCTTTCAAGGCAACTACCTTTTTAAGACCATAATTTTGGACTTAACTTCATTGACTTGACTAATTTGACTGTTCCTGACTTGACTTGACTTAATGATAGATCTTTTTGGGCTGAGAACATGCGAGCTACGTAGCTGGGGATCAAAATCTCAATGGACAGGGGCCGGCGCGCAGCTTTCTCGGCAGATAGATTGCCAGGTCCTGGGTGTTATAACTAATCAAGAAATAGAATGACATAGATCCATTCTAACTTGACCATGGTCTTATTCAAATATATTCTTAAGTGTTGAGTTTTACCCACCCTTGGACTTCCTTAAGACGGATCAAACACAAGCGCCATGCTTAGCCTTGGAAGCCTCTCCAAGCAGCAGCTCTCAGCTGCTGCCGTGCTGCCTCTCTGTTTGGCTGTTGCGTTGATTGGCTGGGCCACTGGGAGGCGGACCCGCCCCCGCCCGGGCGCGGCGCCGCGTGCCGCGGGAGCGGGGCTCGGCCCAAAAAGAACGGCTGGTGATCCCCGAAGTCCGGCAGAGAAATTGCGGAAGCTGCTGGCGCAGAGAGAGAATCTGGTGGGAATATGGGAAAACATATGGAAAACATGTATCACTTTGGCTGATGGTCCTGACTTTTTGGATGGTGATGTCCTTTGAATATTGAGAAACATGCGTTCTTGTTTGGCAGGTGGTTTGATGAAAATGATGTCTGATTCCCGTCATGTTGCATCCTTTTCAGCCTTTCAGGGCTGATGATCAGCAATCGACACATCTTTCCAGTGGTGGTCAAAGTGTGGTCACTTACTGGTCATTTTCCATCCATATTTTGGGATGATGACCCCCAAGTGATGTATTTTTGCATATTTTTGCAAATCCCCAGGAAAATCATTGTGATGCCCTGCTGCTACGATGGACTCACTGCCAAGTTGATCGAGCGCGAGGGATTTCAGCTGACCTTTATGACAGGATTTGGCGTCAGCGCGGTGCATGGATTTGCTGATTGCCAGCTGGTTTCTTACCAGGAGATGTTGGAAAGCGCGTTTCGAATCTGTGGATTCTAGCCAGTGAAAAACGCTGGTTTGGTGATTTTTCCTGGGGGGATTTCGGGGTAGCTGGGGTGATGGGCTACAACTCAATGGCATTTGCTGGACCCCTCTCTAGGGTATGTACTAGTTCAATGGTGAGTTGTTACGGGAAAAACGTGTTATACATTTTTGCGTTATAAATTTCCTTAGGTACAGGCCATCCGATGACCAGATGATCATATTCCAGAATCCAGTTGTCCAAGTCAAAGTGTTTGACCCATTGTCATGGGGATCCCACCACCATCCACCCCACCAAATGCGACCTTGCCCAATGATAGATGGTCAAGAAAGGTTAAGGGCTGGTTAAGGGTCACCCTTATCAGCCTTATCTGTGGCTGTTAGTTGAGTCCCCTGGTTCGAGGCTCTTTGCAGGAGATCTGCTGCATTGGTGATGGCGACACGGGCTACGGCAACGCGGTGAATGTGAAACGCACGGTTCGGGGCTATGCCCAGGCCGGTATGGCGGGTACCTTGCCGCGTTCGTGTTGACGTTTTGGAAATTTGTGGATGATATGATGATGGTAATGTCGGAAACTCATGGAAACTCAATAGAAAAACCATGTCTTCATTGATGTTTACTTGGGCATCATTATAGCCCATTTATAGCCCCATTTGGGGTGTTTGGTATGATCTATGGGTATTGGGATGGTTGATCCATTGTTAGGTTTGCCACATTACCAGGCCAGATTTTGGACGTGTTAAACCATGTTTTCCCATCGCTTTGCCGCACATTGTTTATTACTGTATATAAATATAAATATAAATGTTATAAATATATATATATACACGGGTTTGCCCCATTTACCATTTTGATCCATTTTGGATGTGTTCAACCACGTTTTGCCATGGTTTACGGCGAATCGGCAGCTTTTGATTACATAGCTTTTTGGTGCCAGCATCCAGCCAGTTTCGCCCAGGGCCGTCTTGGGCAAGGTGTGCACATCGCTTCTACTAATTACTGATGTGATGCAAGATGTTTTTTCCCCAGCGATGACCAAAATCACTCTACTTGTCCAATTTGGTCCTTTGCAATGCGAGGATTCAACTATATTCAGCCCATTGTTGTTTTGAACAGATCCTTCATGGTGCCGCCCGGAGCTTCCAGTTTTTTTTTGTTGGGTTTAAGTCGTGTTTTCCTCCAGGTTCTACGTTTCTACCATGTCTTTTCCATTCCTTTTCGTTCGCAGAAAATCTCTGGTGCGGCCCCACTAAGCCCACTAAGGCATCATGATTGAAGACCAGGTGGCGCCCAAACGTTGCGGCCACACCAAAGGCACCAGTGTGGTCAGTCGCGCCGAAGCTGTCGCGCGGGTGAAAGCTGCCTGCGATGCACGGGATGAGGGCCAGGACCAGGATCTGTCATGGCGACGTTGGGTCATGATTTTATTGGGATTCAATACTGGTTGGTGGTTTGGAACGTGTTTTATTTTTCCATATAATTATTGGGAATAATAATCCCAACTGACTAATATGTTTCAAAGGGGTTGAAACCACCAACCAGAATATGATTTAATGGGATTGAACCATTATGAATCACCATGTATATAATGGGACTGAACATAGAATTTTTGATGAGATGTAAGATGATGTAAGCAGATAGGTGAGCATCAGATTCACAAGGTCCTTATGCTACATTTCATAGCTTAGCTGAGGTAATTGCAAATTTAGACCCGCAAATTGGTTAATCTGAAATTTGAAGACCCCACCAGCCCCAACATCTGATGATTTAGCAGTATCTTCTCGATAAGATTGCCGTGAGTTGGGGATTTACTCCAGTCTCAGGACCTACCTGACTATCATATTTTCATTTGCTCAGCTATCTTTCCATATCCCAATTGTAGTCCTATGATATGTCCATGATATCGATGGGCAATGGGCTCAATCAACTGGATAAGTGGGATCCCCTTGCAACTGTTTTACGGTGAGTTATATCTCACTTAGTAACATTTAGTAACCAGTTAACTCACTTAACTCACTTAGCTAACTCATGGACCGTCCAAGCACAGTAGATTTACCCTCTGGTGATTTATCATGTTCCTTCAAACATGGGAAATCACCATTACCCGGATTTTTGATAGGTAAGTCATCGAACGAAATGGGCCGGGTTCCATAGCTATGTCGAATTACCAGGGGGCAATTCCATGAATATCCCAATGTTTGCTGGTTAAATCCCCATTAATCACCATAAATATCATTAAACATCCCATTGTAATCGGTGATTTTCCTCAGCTATGACGCTATGCTACTGTAAGGTGGTTACAAGCAGCTGACACCTCTCCCAATGCCTCTGTCAGATCTGTCACAGGAAATTTGTATCATGGCCCGCACTGATGCGCGTGCGACCTTGGGCTTGGACGAAGCTATTGACAGGTGGGATCTGACGTATGGGGGATATCATGGGTAAATACAAATGGAATAGGTTTAATGGGAGTACATGTGTATGTCTAATATATATATATATATGCATGTATATGTATATATAACTATTATATATATGCATATGAATGTGTATATATAATATTATAAATATATGTATCGGGATCTACTGTACTAATTAACAATCGATTGTGACGGTTGGATTTGTTGGGCGTGACTGAAAATGGTGAAATTCCTCTCACAAATAGCCACATTTTGGGGAAAGACTTGACAATGATGCTTTAATCTTCACTAAACCAACATAGCTATTGAAAATCCCCATTTATAGATGAATTTACTTATTCAAAATCTTGATTTTCCAGTTCGCAAACTGTTAGTTTACCAGATGATACTGTATCAGTAGGTAGGGAATGTAGAGAGGTGTTTCCCATGGTGTTCCCATGGTTTTCCTATAGTTGCTCACAGAAATCGAAAGGTGCTTGGCTTTCGTGGAAGCCGGTGCTGACATTACCTTCTTGGAAGCACCACGCAGTGAGGAGGAGATGAAGAGGTACTGCCAGGAGGCCAGGAGGTAAGATAGACCGTCCTCTCCAGATATATGGGACATATGATATATATATATAATATGTACATATGGAAATGATATAGGACATATTTGAATATATATATATATATAAATATCGGGTTTATCTTCTTAACGACTGTAATTGATCTGTGGAAAATAATCTATATATCCCCATGAATCTGCAGATGAACTACCAGATAGAAAACCTGCCGTTTGTAGACTACAGTTGTTATTTTCCCAAAGGGAGATTCAACATATGCTCCGCGCAGGTGCCAGGGTACAAGATGGTGAACATGCTCCCCAGTGGTAAGACCCCATTTCTGCGCCTAGGATATGAGAAGCCAAGGTGGCGTCCACCCAAAAATGGGGAGGCCCAAGGGAATCTATACAACAATTGGTTGATGGCTTCAAATCTGGTTGATTTTTTCAGCCCTATCCGGACAAAATCGTCTCAACTGACTCAGCCACCAGTTGGGTCCGTTGGGCTGTCGTTTTTGGCAAATCCAAGGAGCCACCAACTGCTGCATGACTTGGGTTTTGCCATCGCTGCGTATCCCTTGACCCTGCTGTCTGCTGGCCTCAAAGCGCAAGAAGCAGCTCTGCAGAGCTTGAAGCAAAAGGGCCAGGTTGAGGCTGGTGCCCCGGCTATGGTGAAATCTTGTAGCCTCCCCCATTTCGGTGTCCAGACAGATGGTTCAGATGCCATGATGGCCCTGGTTGTTGATAGTCGCCTGGAAGATTTTTGTTGGGGTTCGGCCTGAGCTTAAGCCCCAGCAAAAAGATCACTGCTTCCGAGAAATTTTGAGAAGGTGACCTGATTCTATGGACATTTTGGCTGCTAAGTGATGTGTCAAAAAACGGTTTGTGTTATGGCCTGGTGAGCTGTGTAAACTGCAATGTTGTTTTCACATTTTACGGCACGCGTGTTTTATTTTGCACATATTTCATCATATTTCCACGGTTGCTTTACTCTTGAGCCACGGCACAAAGCATAAACAAAATCGAACAATCGGCATGTTGGTATGGATCAAACTGTAACACGCTCAACACCGCAAATGTGGTCATTGTTCAGTAGCATTAGCCACCCAGTTTGTGTGGTACCAATTCTTCATGCAACGCCATGTGAGGAATGGAGCTCAACTTCGACAAGCTGAAGGACATCGTTGGTTTTAACAAATATTACAGCGAGGAGGAACGCTACCGAACTTCCTGATCAGCCACAAATGCAGCGACAGCTGGGCAAACCAGTCGACCAGCCAAAAGGTGAAGCGCGGAGCAAAAGTTACGGCAAGTCGCAGATGGAAAACCCGTGGTGAATAGCAGCATGTTGTGCAGGGCTACCCGGCCTTTCCCCCCATTTTTTACAATGGAAAAGCCATGTGCAGGGCGACCCAAAAAGGGCTACCAATGGTTCCACAAAATTGCCCTTCCAGCGCTTTGGGGTGCATAATTTGGATCATTTGCAGATCATTTTCCTGGGCATTTCAGATTTCAAGGTCGTACCCGCCTCAAAAACGACACGGAAAGAATGGACTTGGAAGATGAAGAGGAAAATGAACATGATGTACCAGATTTGGTGGGGGAAGATGAGTTATATCAATAATAATCATAGTTTCATATTATTTCAATGCCGCGTAGATCGATCGATCCATCCATTGACTCATGACGGCGTAGGTGGAGCACCTCATGAAAATCAGCAGTCCCGGCCTGGCGTTCAAGGCTGATCAGCGGGTGAATTCTTCGTGTTTTTTGCATGTTTTGCTGGTTGATTGTAAGGGCATGTAAGGGCAAAAGCGGGATTTCACCAACAAACATTTGGGAATTGCTATAGCTGCTAGGAGTTTGTAGCAAAGATGGGACTTACCCAGTGGTGATCAAACACTTCAAACGAAAGCTGCACCCGTGAGCTGGAGAATGGGTGATGTCTATGTTTTTTCAAATAAAAAGGCTCCACTAGATTCACTACATGCCGGTGTTCTTAGTCCCCGCACTTCTTGTTTGATTCTTTCGTATTGAAAGGCGGTGAAAAGCTATTTAAAGCATCTAAAAAGCCTGGCTGGAACCTTCTCCACTTGGGTGTAGACATGCTTTGAGTTGGATCCCAATGTAAATGTCCTCAAGTGTTTTCAAAAAAACAAGACCCCTAAAAGAAGTAATTTATATAAAGCAAACAAAATTACCCAAGAAGCAAGAGGAAGATCCAAAGTCGTGCTGGTGGTGTCTATGTAAGATACCCATAGATGCCCCCAAAAAAACATGTCCATCCCACCGGAGAGAAGTATCCCAATTGACTGTCATGATGTTTGGGTCCTGCTTGGCCCAACGGCAGGTAGATGCAGATGAACTGGAAGACTTCCTGCAGGATGTGACGTTTCGGGGCCAGCTTTGCAGGGTAGGGGATGGTTTTAGGATGTTTTAGGCTGAAAATAAGGGATGGTTTGCAACAAGACTTAGAACTGGCTGGCCGTTTCAAATGATACTCTTGGGATGAGTTGAAGCCAGTGCTGAACCCCAGAGAAAGTCTGGTTGAAGATGTTGAAGTTCAAAATCTGCGCATGCGCTTAGCTTTGTTGAAGGTGATGGTTTGCGTTCCCAATGGACAATCCTGTGAGGAATCTAAATTACAGTATAGGGAACATGTAAGTATTTTTTGGGGACCCCGAATCGGCAAATCCAAGTGTAAGAAGGGACAACAGTTTCAACAGCTGGGGTCTGAACCGACGGCTGGCCGTTTGATGCCGGCTATGCCAGGAGATCGAAGCGCTGCCCCAAGGGCTTCCAAGTAATTATTACACAAGTTAGTCTCTCAACTCATCGCGAAATTAGCAGTTCCCCCAAAATTGGGTGAAGTTGGAGGTGCCATTTCCGCAGGACCCTTCAAGAAATCCACCAAGAAAATGTTTCCGGGAAACTCGTTAGATCACAGTTTGCCCCCCGTGAAGGACGCCTTTCGCGAAGTGGAAGAGATCTTGAAGGCCTCTCATACGGGGGATCCGGAAGAAATCCTGAGACGCTTGGAGGGTCAGGAGCTCAGGTTAAGGCCAATCTCTGTCGCCAGCTTTTGGAGTTTTCAGTACTTGACCTGAACATCCACAATGATAGATCTCGCTCCACATTTTATGGCCGTTGCCGTGTGCAAAAGGCTCCTGGCCAAGCCCCAGACCCTGAGGTACCTGAACCAGACAGGCCATATGACAACCCCAGAAACTTGGGATGCAAAGACGTCCTGTATTTTAAGGTGGGGCTCAGACTTCAGGATCCAAAGTCCAAAAATCAGGTTCTTTGGTGGTTTCTTCAGTGGGTAGCAAGTAGGTCTGGAAATATCAAGTGAATCAAGTGGAGGATCCAAAAGTTTGAGACACGCCCATGTAGTTCGAATTTCTGCGAAGTTGCAGCCCCCAGCCCGGCCCAAGACGGCGCCAGGGTCCAATCCGGACCGGGGCCAAGCATAGCACCAGCACCTCTAAAGGAGGACTGCCGCACTGTGAAGCACACAGGGCTCAGACCATTCCGCTGGTTTGCTTCCAAAAAGAATGGATGGCACTCAGGTGCGAGAAAATGGGTTGAAAGATGTTGAAAGGAACAACTTTGAGAAGGGGCCCAAAATGGGAGTTGTGAAAATCTTGTTGGTGCATGGGTGTGGGTCAAAGTGGGCACTTCCAACTTGGCATGGTTTATCACCACAAATCACCAAAGTCGTTGATTTGTTCGTGCTATTTGCGGGGCTTGAGGGAGTTTCAAGTTGGTGCAGTAGTGAGCTGGATGCAGATTTGCTTGCCATGATGCCGATGGATCCAGATAATTCCTTGTGGATGAGATGGAACAGAAGGCAAGCTGAATCAAACACAACATCCACTTCAAAACCCTCACCTGACCTAGCTGTCCTGCAAGCAGTTCATGCTCCCAACATCTCCCAACCACGCAGCACGCCAAAACCTTGGTTCTTTGATGTTCTTTTGATGTCTTTTGTATGATAGCTGGCCATATTTGGCCCGTGACCCACAGACCCAAACCGAAGCATGGCATTCCAAGCCGCTAAAGTTCAGCATTTATCACCATGACGTCCTCAAGCTCAGATAGTTCAGAGGAGGCCTGACGATTCGCGGCTCAAACCAACGGTGGAACATCCGTGAGAGGATATATCCATGAAATTCCATGCATGTTTGGCGCTTATATATACTTATTTATGTTTATTTCATGTTTATTTCATGTTAACACCCCCAGTTTGGGAGCACAGTTTCTCAAGGTTGCTTGAAATTGTTCACCCCGTTCGGCAAGGGACAAAAACAGAGGTTTTGGATGTTTGAGCCTTTGCGCTCAGCCAGGAAGACAAGAAGAAAGCAGAGGACTGGGGAACGTATCATCAGCGTGGGCAGGAACTCTCGGTTTCATTTTTTGCAGAATTTCGTGTACCAGGTTCGGGGGCATCCATACACACACACCCACGCACGCACGATACAAGCGCATTGATTGCTCACACAGACATGTCTATATTATATATGTGCGTGTGTGCTCTATCTAAATCTATCTACTTTGACATGCTTTGCACGACAATATGGCAACCCCAACAATAGAAACTAGACCCCATTTAGCAAATTTTGCCGCTGAAGGGATATCGAAGAGCATACCCCAAAAAGGAATTAACCAGTGGGTTTATCACATTAATTTGAGATGTCAATGATCCGGTGGTACCCTTAAAATGCAAGTTCTGGCTTGCGGCATGGTGCAAATGGTGCCTCACACATAATATCCCTGTGTTATGTTCATACAAAATTACTAGGTTCATGTCCAAACAAGATGAACAACATAGCCTTCGGAGCCACGCGGAAGCTGTTGGAACCCCAGTTTTCACCCCAGGAGAACGGCTCAGATTCCGACTCGGAGTCCGGATCTTCTGAGTCCAGTGGCTTGGAGACTGCCTTCCGGTGGCTCTTCAAATGGGGAGATCAAAAAAAAACGGATGGACAGGGATCAACTGTGGCACCATCTCCGCACTTCAGCACCAGTGCGCTGGGGAGAACCAAGGCTCTGAGAAGAAAAAGAAAAAGAAAGCGAAAAAAGAAAAGAAGAAGAGCCTTGGCGGATAGTTGCTCTATTATATAAAAATCTACTTTCGAAATGGCACCACACTGCAAGAATTTCTAGAAAGATAATTTTGATATATTTTGATCGATTATGATCCATTTCCATAGCTCCTCTTCTAGCATGAGAAGCTTTAGACAAGCGAGTCATTTGGTGACGTACAGGCTACAAGCGGGAGTTTTCGGCCGATTTCGGCCAGGAAAAAGAAGGACAAAAAGGACAAGAAGTCCAAAAAGAACAAAAAGGCAGAGAAGAAGGGAAAGAAAAAGAAGGCGCGCATCAGCAGTGATCCTAGGGTGACGATATCTTTGGTGTTCCTTCCAATTGACAACCGGGATGAAGCAGCGGCTGAAAGGAGAAGAAAAAGAAAAAGAAAAAGGGAGACGATCTCACAGAAGCCATGCGCGGATCTGTCTCCAATCAGTTTGGCAAGTATGGCGCTGCCGGCGCTGATTTTGGCACTGCACGGGGAGAGCTGACGCAAGTTCTTTGTTCAGTGAACTGGGCACCAACTCAAGAGCACCCCTTAGAACATGTGCAATGATAATCAATTATCCAAATATGGGTTTTATTCATATTCATGCCCATCTTGGAAGATGGATGGAGATGGTTATACCCACATCAAAACGGAATCATGATGGTTCATATGTATATAAATAATTATAAATATATATATATAATTATAGAATATTATATATATGTGTGTGTGTGCTTATTCGCCGTTGTGTCATTGTTTTTGGTTCATTTCCAACTTGGATTTCTGATCCACATCGACTTGTACATCATAGGGATACAACGTATTGAGGATATTGTATTAAGGATACTTCAAACTTCTTCTCGACATGATTTATAGTAATTTATATCCAAGATTTAGTGCCTCCCCCGCTCAAAAAACGACACAGCGGAGCCAGGCATCATCAAGGCTGAAGACTTCTTCTCCAAGAAGCCCGAATTTATGCTCTGGGCACAGGAGGTCCGAAAGGTCAATACCGACATCCTCGGACAGCCCCGCAACGGCAACGAAAATGCGTCAAGACTTTAGACATTTCAACGACCCTGTGGAAGTGGCTTATGTTAGTTATGTCCAATTTCATCATGTATCATCCTGTTTTTTCCGGATGAGTTGGGTCCGGAGTTGAGATCTTAACAGCACCATTTACCGTTATAGATCTTCACTCAATAATAATTACCCTCTGGTAATTTAACATAGCTGTGGAAAATCACTATTTTTAATGGGTAAATCCACTATAGATGGCCATTTTCAATAGCTATGTTAGTTTACCAGAGGGTAATTAGATTAGATCAGATGTAATTGCCCCGGCGTTCGGGTGCACTGAGGATGCAGCTGAAAGATTTGTTCAAGGAATACGTGGAGGACTACAACACGGCCACCATGCCTTCGAAAAAGTGCCTTGTCCGAAAAACCTGGCCTTCAACAAAAAGATGCCACTTTCTAGATATGGGGATGGGTCAAAACCTATTAATGCCATATTGGGGAGAATAAACATCCATTATATAATCAGCTATTGTAGGGTACCTAGGGTGCCAGGGTTTTAACTCGCCAGGAGGCCAGTTTTGGAGCGTGATTTATTGCATCCCGTGCATATGTTGGCAGGTACTACAATATCCAGGTATTCGAGCAGCAAATGTCCAACAAGCGGCAACTTGGTGAGATCAACTTCTCTTTGTGTCGATTTTCTGCTGACAACTGGTTGAACCGTGTTAAATTTCAATTGTCATTGGTTAAATCTATCGTCTATCGCTTTGTTGATGAAAATCGCTTCAAGCCAGCATTTTGCTGGTGAAAGGCCAGCATTTTGCTGATGAAAGGTCACTGGTGTTATATATATATAATATATATATATGTACCTCCCCATAATTGAAAACTGACATGATTTAAAGTCCCGGTGTTAGATGCATAGCTCCCATCCAACAGGGCGAAACGCCTTCAAATCAGGCGGAAGAAGAAAGCAGAAACGGTCATTGATACTGCCGCCTGACTAAAATATGTATACGAAAAGTGGTGGGCTGCTGGGCTCATGAACCAGGTTACCCAGATGTATAGATGTGTGGCCAGGATTCATATACTTGTTTGGTTTCTTTGGGGGGGGGTTCTTCCAATTGGGGATCCCCAAGAAACAATAAAGGCTTCACCAAGTTATCATGGAAAACTGGATAATTTAGGGGTACTCCCCATTTTAGGAAAACTCCATAGAATGATCCGAAAATGATACCAAAACTCCATACATGGATGATTTACAATGATGTATCATGTATACACCTTGTGACGGTCAGGGCATTCCTTGCATTGCAAACCCAGGCACTTCAAAGCTCTTTGGCGTCCTTCGATGACGAAAAGGCCAGCAGATGCCAAAGGGGAAAATCCCACATTTATCCCATTCTTGGCTTCTTAAGCATTTTATACATGTTTATTTGTTTATGCCACAAACCAAAACAAGAAAAAGCAACAAATAAACACAGAAGGCGGCAGAGATATGTTTGGATAGAAAGGGCACGAATGAAGAATGAATAGTGAACACATGTTCTCCAACACACTATACATATGTCTCTATAATAAATCACAATAATACATATCCAAGATGTATACTATGTATGTCCATGTGTAACACATCATATTTAGTATGCATCTCTATTTATATATATATATATACACATATATATATACATGTCTAATACATCATCTTACATTTATACACCAGTACACTATAGCCATGGCCACAGCCAGCCTCCCATCCCAGGCCCGACGAGACGAAGTCCTTGCCTTACGTGCCAAGAAACAGGAGAATCAGATTTCCTCGGAGGCCGCGGCCGGTGGTCCCTGATTTGGTCGAGAGACCTAGGTATACAGTGATGGCTTGGGGAAGGTTAAAATTTGGGCTACAGTATACATCTGGAAGTATTAATGATGGCAATTATGGCATGATTTTTTTCAAAGTGAAGTATGTTCCCAAAAATGAGCATATACCCTCTGGCAAAAAACGTAGCAATAAAGAGTCCCTGAACTAAATGAAGGTCTCTTGGGTAAATGAGTGTAACTAAATGGGGGGCTTTCAAGTGCATGCATACATACATACATACATACATACATACTTACATACTTACATACTTACATACTTACATACTTACTTACATTCTTACATACTTACATACTTACATACTTACATACTTACATACATACTTACATACATACTTACATACTTACATACTTACATACTTACATACCTACTTACATACATACATACATACATTACATCATGACATGACATTACATTACATTACAGACATACATACATACATACAGACATACATACCTACATACATACATAAATAGTGGGAATTGTATGTCCAGATACATATAGTTTTTGTTACTTCTTGATATATTGGACAATTGGACACGCGTGGCTGGGGAAATTCGGTCACAATAACCCAACCTTTGCAGAGACCTTTGTGGAATGTATTGGATCTATGGGTTGGGGCCATCGGGGGTATATAAAACCAATATGGACATATTGAACAATACCTGTGGAACCATGGGGGATGGCCATCCAGCTCTGAACTAAACAGAAGGGTACTAGGGGTTTCACCTTTTGACCTATAGACTTTTAGACATATAAACTTTATATAAACCTCTTCTCCACTAATCTGTTCAGGTCCTGTTGATGAGATTCACAACTGAAACCCCAGGGTTTTCCAGGTGCAGCGCCTGCGAATGAACAAAGAGAAGGCGGAGGACATGAAGCACCAGGCAGCTGATTCGGATGAAATTCCACGGGATTCAACCAGTTCATGGGATTCAAGTTAAGTTTGAAGCACTTTGAATTGGTGTTGAAATACCAATGATAGCCTACTTTTAAGCAGTAAAAGGATATAAAACTGATAGATGATGGTTGCTTGATGCTTCTCGGGGGGTTATACCAAGGTCAACAAGGTCATTGGGGTAGTTCTCAGAATGCCCCTAGTATCCCCTATAGTCAATAAAGTAGCCATGAGGTCATCAAAACATCAGTTTGGGCAAATTATAACGACATCACGTCGTGACCGAACTGGAATCATGGGTGATAAGAGGAATCATCCCCAAATAGCCTTAATTCAGGTAATCGGTCCTTTCTTGCGGGGAGAGGGCTGGCCAATGAGAAGATCAGCGGCCTTAATTTAAGTTTGTGAAATATTATAATGTATCCATACTAATTGCCTTTCAAATAGTAGGGTTGGGTAAGTGGGATGTGGCTCATTCTTGGGTTTGCCACATTGGATGGGATAAAAGACGCGGATTTTGGATCATCATGGAGACCCCTTCTTTGAGCACCGTTTATTTCTTGGGCGGGCGGCGGGAGGTGAGTTGAGAGCACTACCGACTTCCATAATGGTCTTGGGGAATTGACAGGAAACCCTGTGCATTTATGGTTCACACATGCAAACCACGCAAAAATCCATCGTTTCACTGCGAAAGAATTCCATGTCAGAAGGCTACAAAACCCCAGGGGGGTTCTGGTGGATTTTGGCCTGGGCCCCAGGCCATGCTGAAGACCCAACAATCGATGCTCAGTAAGGCTGGCCAGGTGGAGGCTGGATGGGTAGTGGAGTCTACAAGGTGAACTGTGGGCAAAATGAAGCATGAATAAGCAACAAACATTGGGAGATCGTGAGCAAATGAGGATATTAACTGGGAAACCCACTGTCATAAAATTCATATGTTTCCTGAAGTGTGGGCATATAAGACCCAGCCAACTATAGGTTGTTTCTCTTCTGACTGGATCATTCGGCCTGCGGAGAGCTGGCCGATCAATTGAACAGCCATGCGCGATAGTGCCGCTTTAATTTGTTTCACAAGGGCCTCGTCAGAGACCAAAGTTGGGTTGATTTCTGACTCGGGTATAACTTGCTGAATCTAATCCAAGAGTAAGATGAGGTGACTACATCTTTTCATTGATTTGTGCTTGGCTTGAGAAATGTGGCTGCGGGTCGAACCCCAGCATTCTGGTGAACACCAAAATTAAAACAGGTGGTAGTGGTAGATGGATATTCATCCCGATTCATCCGCATGTGTGGTAAAATCTTAGAAAATGCTGTAGGTTTTGACCCATTCCCACATCTTGTTCCCTGCAAAGCCCCCATGCCGGTTCCGGATTCTGGCCTCAAAGGCTGCTGGGAAGATTAGCGAAAGGCTCAACCCAAACAAGGCCGCTTTTTTCGACATCCCCAGAAATGCTTTGGCTGCTGGTTCAGGCTGGTTCTTTGCCAAATATGGAATGATGATCCCACGTTATCCCATGGATGTTTTTCTTTTGGGATTCTGACAGCTCCAGAAACCACCGGCTTCCTGCGGAATTAGGATCAGGATGAGTTGCCATCAGCTGAAAAGACATCAAATCATCACATCCCATGCAAAAAAGTGAACAAAATCTGACACACCCATAAACAAATGCGAACCTTTATTGATCATCTGATAGGCCCAGCATGGACTCTTATAGCATTCTATACCCAATTTTGCCGCACGCGTCAATTTCTCTGAAAAACCACAATAAACCACAACAAAATTGGGTTGTTAGCCATGATGTCTGATGAATTATTTGTTCCTATGTGTTTTGCTTGGTTTGTAGCCTGATCTGTGGGCCCAGCTTCACTAGCGCTCCTAGGTGGACTATGCGGAACGTCGGGCCAAGAAGTTGGATGGTCCGGTGGGCTTCCAACCTGAAGGCCGATGTGTATGAAATCAAATAAACTCTCGGGAATTCACATCAGTTCATTGTAGGATATTGTAGGTGTTGACATCACGATAGCTATAGGTATACATAAGAGATGTATTGAAATCACACATATATAAAGATATGATATTGTTGTGGGTATTCACATCTTCCTGTCGCTAGTCAGACCACAGGTCGTGTTTGCATATGTCAGAACCCCTACACATGGAACTCCCATTTCAAAGAGGACGATCCATAACTGCCATAAACGTCCATTTTTGTCTATGGCCAGGTTAGATTTCTGAAGGTAGCTGAAGCGCTGGTGCAGAATGGTGCAGAATTGCCGTTGGAGCAGCACAGCGCGAGGAGTATGTGAAAAGTTGCCATTGTATACTGAGGAAGTTCCTTGAAGCCACATCAGATCCGTTTTACGGTGATTATATGCCTAAGAAAAGGATGGAAAGGCCTGCATCTTGCATATCAGATAGGGAAAGTTGCAGAACGGGGCTAATTATTTTAGGGTTTTTTTTTGATCAGGTTTAGTTTTTTTTTTTGGATGCCTGCTTCTCTGCTTTTCCTGCTTTTCCTGCTTCTCTGCTTTTCTGCTTTTCCTGTTTCTTTGCTTCTCTACTTTCCCTGCTTCTCTGCTTTTCCTGCTTTTCCTGGCTTCTCTGCTTTTCTGCTTTTCCTGTTTCTTTGCTTCTCTACTTTCCCTGCTTCTCTGCTTTTCCTGCTTTTCCTGTTTCTTTGCTTCTCTGCTTTTCCTGTTTCTTTGCTTCTCTACTTTCCCTGCTTCTCTGCTTTTCTGCTTTTCCTGTTTCTTGGCTTCTCTGCTTATTTCCTGTTTCTTTGAGCATACTTTCCCTGCTTCTATGATTTTGCTGCTTTCCTCGTTTCTGTGCTTCTCTGCTTCCCTGCCTTCTTGCTTTCTGCTTTTTCCTGATTCTTTTTTGGGGGGCTTTTTGTCCCTCTGCTTTGCCTGTTTCTTTGCCGCTTTTCTCTACTTCCCTGCTTCTCTGCTTTTCTGCTTCCTGTTTTCTTTGCTTTCTCTGCTTGTACTGTTCCTGTTTCTTTGCTTCTCCTGCTTCTCTGCTTTTCTGCTTTTTTGCTTTTCTGTTTTTCCTGTTTCTTTGCTTCTTTGCTTTTCCTGCTTTTCCTGCTTCTCTGCTTTTCTGCTTTTCCTGTTTCTTTGCTTCTCTGCTTTTTCCTGTTTCTTTGCTTCTCTACTTTCCCTGCTTCTCTGCTTTTCTGCTTTTCCTGTTTCTTTGCTTCTCTGCTTTCCCTGCTTCTCTGCTTTTCTGCTTTTCCTGTTTCTTTGCTTCTCTGCTTTTCCTGTTTATTTGCTTCTCTACTTTCCCTGCTTCTCTGCTTTTCTGCTTTTCCTGTTTCTTTGCTTCTCTGCTTTTCCTGTTTCTTTGCTTCTCTACTTTCCCTGCTTCTCTGCTTTTCTGCTTTTCCTGTTTCTTTGCTTCTCTGCTATCCCTGCTTCTCTGCTTTTCTGCTTTTCCTGTTTCTTTGCTTCTCTGCTTTTCCTGTTTCTTTGCTTCTCTACTTTCCCTGCTTCTCTGCTTTTCTGCTTTTCCTGTTTCTTTGCTTCTCTGCTTTCCCTGCTTCTCTGCTTTTCTGCTTTTCCTGTTTCTTTGCTTCTCTGCTTTTCCTGTTTCTTTGCTTCTCTGCTTTCCCTGCTTCTCTGCTTTTCTGCTTTTCCTGTTTCTTTGCTTCTCTGCTTTCCCTGCTTCTCTGCTTTCCTGCGTTTCCTGTTTCTTTGCTTCTCTGCTTTTCCTGTTTCTTTGCTTCTCTACTTTCCCTGCTTCTCTGCTTTTCTGCTTTTCCTGTTTCTTTGCTTCTCTACTTTCCCTGCTTCTCTGCTTTTCTGCTTTTCCTGTTTCTTTGCTTCTCTGCTTTTCCTGTTTCTTTGCTTCTCTACTTTCCCTGCTTCTCTGCTTTTCTGCTTTTCCTGTTTCTTTGCTTCTCTGCTTTCCCTGCTTCTCTGCTTTTCTGCGTTTCCTGTTTCTTTGCTTCTCTGCTTTTCCTGTCTCTTTGCTTCTCTACTTTCCCTGCTTCTCTGCTTTTCTGCTTTTCCTGTTTCTTTGCTTCTCTGCTTTCCCTGCTTCTCTGCTTTTCTGCGTTTCCTGTTTCTTTGCTTCTCTGCTTTTCCTGCTTCTCTGCTTTTCTGCTTTTCCTGTTTCTTTGCTTCTCTGCTTTTCCTGTTTCTTTGCTTCTCTACTTTCCCTGCTTCTCTGCTTTTCTGCTTTTCCTGTTTCTTTGCTTCTCTGCTTTCCCTGCTTCTCTGCTTTTCTGCTTTTCCTGTTTCTTTGCTTCTCTGCTTTTCCTGCTTTTCATGCTTCTCTGCTTTTTTGCTTTTCCTGCTTCTTTGCTTTTCTGCTTCTCTGCTTTTCTGCTGTTTTGCTTTCCTGCTTTCCTGTTTCTTTGCTTCTCTGCTTTTTTGCTTTTCTTCTTTTTTGCTTTGCCCGCTTCTCCGCTTTTCTGCTTCTCTGCTTTTCTTGCTTTTCTCTTTTCTGCTTCTCTGCTCTTCTCTGATGCATTTTGCACAGTATTTACATCCCTGAGTATCACATTACTTATCTTCTCTTGAAAACTGACAGCGTAACATGTGAGAAGAGGTGCTTGCATTCTGCTTTGGGGGGAGGCGCTGCGCCCTCCCCCCAATCCCCTCCCGCTTTTAATTATTAAAACCCAAGCTCGTAAATACATTAGTTGGGGTTGGTATGATGATGTGGTGAACATGATGGTGTGAATGCTAACCATGACCATCGTCCGCAGCTTGCATTTTTGCAAACCAACCTTCTCTTGAAAGCTGACAGCATTACATGTGAGAAGAGATGCTTGCATTCTGCTTTCGGGGGAGGCGCTGCGCCCTCCCCCCAATTCCCCCCCCCCGCTTTTAATTATTAAAACCCAAGCTCGTAAATACATTAGTTGGGGTTGGCATGATGATGTGGTGAACATGATGGTGTGAATTCCAACCATGACCATCGTCCGCAACTTGCATTTTTGCGAACTAACCTTCTCTTGACAACTTGGGGGTGACATGATGATGTAGTGAAGGCGGCCATGCCAAAATGTATCAAATCCCTTGGGTTTGGCATGATGATGTGGTGAACATGCTCACATGTAGAAAAACCCATGCAAAATGGAAGGTGAACATGCCAACATGTAGCAAATCCCAAACAAAATGGAAGGTGAACACGCCCACATGTAGCAAATCCCATGCAAAATGGAAGGTGAACATGCCAAAATGCAGCCAATCCCATGCCATGCAAAATGGAAGGTGAACACCCCCACATGTAGCAAATCCCATGCAAAATGGAAGGTGAACATGCCCAAATGTGGCCAATCCCATGCAAAATGGAAGGGGAACACGCCCACATGTAGCAAATCCCGCGCAAAAAAAAAGGTGAACATGCCCAAATGTGGCAAATACCATACAAAATGGAAGGTGAACACGCCCACATGCAAGACTCATGCAAAATGGAAGGTGAACATGCCCAAATGTGGCAAATACCATGCAAAATGACAAATTCAAGGTCCAAACCGTTGCAAACACTAGGCAAATTGTACCAGCCAAGAAATCCAAAAAAAAATCCCAAACCTGCTTTAAAAAAAACTAAAACTATTTCACGCCCAAATCTAACCGCAACTAACAGAAAGGGCCAGACAAGTTGCATGGGTCGATGATTTATGCCGCGGCCATTTGCAGCACATTGGCCATCCGGTTCCAGTGGGGTCCTGATTTGCCAGGAAACTCTTGAAGGCTAGGCGTTTTCTGGTTGGTGGTTTGACAGATATGCACATACTGTTTTGGAGGATTTGGTTTGACAGATTTGCTAATATTTTTCTAGATGATCTAGAGATATCTAGAGGATTGAAAAACCCCAAAGGGTTTTGCATGTATAATCGGGCTAGGAAACGGGGAAAAACGCGGGGATGATGGTTGCAACATGGATGTAAGGTGTAAGTCGAAGAATGTCAAAATCTTAGAGCAGGCAAACAAAAAGTATGGTCATTTCTGCAATCATCATAGCCTCACAACTGGCCGGCGTGGTTATGTTTCCTCTCATTTTGGTGTAATTGTTACACATACATTATACATTACATTACACTACACTACATTACATTACATTACATATTACACATTACACATTACACATCGCACATTGCACAATGCACATTACACATTACACGTTACACATTACACATTACACATTACACATTTCACATTTCACATTACACATTACATTACACATTAAACATTAAACATTACACATTGCACATTACATTGCACATTGCACTACACATTAAACATTACACATTGCACATTACATTACACATTACATTACACATTACATTACACATTACATTACACATTACATTGCATTACCATACTTACAGACAGACATACATACATGCATATACTTATATAATCTTATATATACATATACATACATATGTATATGCACATATGCCTGTGTATCTAGCCACTGACATGTTATTTACACCATTCCCCATCAAGCCGCTGAATTCTCTGGTGCTGCAGGTCCCATGACAGACATGGAGCAAGAAGAGGAACTGTTGGACACTCAGGCCTGGAACTTCTGCTCTAGCAATCATCAGAAATCACCCAAACTTAGATGTTTTCATGCGCAAAGGATTGGCATTGGAGGACGCCTGTGCCACATTGCTGCGTTGCATCAGGAGATCAAAGAAAGCATCAGCGATGTGAGCACCGACGCCAGCCTGTCCCGACACTCTCTGTCAGAGGCGGAACCCGGGCAAGGGGCGTCATCCGCTTAGACACCCGGGGAAACCCCAAAAAGATGCGGTATTTTGCGGTCTGGCAGATGATGTTCTAACTCGGAACTTGTCATTTTGCATGCTGCAGATTAGGGGTGAGATGTCCAATTGGTATTTTCACCTATCATTGTTTTCATTTATCATCATTAATTACTACTTACTACTAATTATTGCTATTCATTGTCCTAATCAGAATCATCACTATCATCATGTATTTTCCAGCCTTGCTAGGGAAAAATGATGTGCACAGTTTCTAGCTTAGGTTCACCGCACACAAAGATGTCGCGGTATGAAAATAAGTAGGCAAACTTCAAACGCATTAGAATTACTATGAATCGCTTATTGTGTGTAATTAGTTAAACGAACAGATGATTTACAATGGGGTGTGTAATTAGGTAAACGAACAGATGATTTACAATGGGGTTACTTATTGAATTGCTTATAATTACTTATAGTAATTCATTGATTGGTAAGTATTCTGGGGTCGTTGCGTTGCTGTGCCAGGATGATGGATTGGAGGCAAGCTCGCCAGGCAAAGATGCTACCGTGCCTGATGAGCC